TGTTCAAGAGAACCAGGGAGAACTATGAAAAAGAACTTTGGAAAACTTATGTTGTGTCCATGCCAAGTGCAGCAATCATTATTATTTTGGGCCAAACCTTGTCTAATAGAATTGTTTGAGGGTCCCCACAGAGAAGACTTGGAGAAAAGTGCTCCTCAAAGTTACAATGCCTTTGGTTTGAAGGCAACCCCAGAGTTAAAAACAATAATTTAGTATTATTGATATATTCATCAAATCCCATATAAGAGGATATTTTATAACAACCCATAACCCTATTGATATCTGACCTCTGGCCAAATCCGGTGGGCTAAAAGACTATAGTATCCAATTTTAATCAATATATCCAAAAACAACAGGCATTCTTAGTTTTCCAATATGTATATTAAATTCTAAAGAGTCTCTTGCATTTGTTAAGCTTGAGCAAATAATCAGTGAACTTCAGACAGCGGAATAATTGAAAGCAGTAGGTTTTTTTGAAGCGGGACAAAGAAAAAATGATCAGGGATGATAAGCAAGATTTTCACTTTGTGGGTTTTCAAGAAGAAAACGCGGACAAAATACCCTCAGAAATCCCTTGTAAACCTGTTGTATACCCGGACGGAACCGCTTCAGGACATACACCAACAGAACATCATATTCGAAAAAAACAGATATTTTACTCACAAATGACTCGCTTGCACCAAAACAATAACCTGAATTACAGCCGTCTTCTCCGGCCAGTCGCTCACTCCCCGAGAGAGAAACAGAAGCAACGGGAAAAATTACAGTAAAACTTACTCTTTGCAGACATAAGGAAATAAATTATAGAACAAGTCACTTTTTTAGTTGTTTCCAAAGCATTCTTTTTTCTTATAATATGAAAAATTAATGAAAGAAATAGGCACAAACTTGTTAGCGTGCTTACCTATTTTCGATGTACTGATTACATACGCAGTGAGTACGAAGTGCCTACAAAGCGCGCAATAGGCGACGAACTATAGCGCAAGAATGGTTACTGCTTGTCCTCAAGGTACTTCCCAATTCATAGTAAGGAAAGGACAAATAAAAGGCTCGATGAAACAAGAATAAACGAGAATTTCTGTCAATACTCTTTCCTCTCCCTTGTCCGCCATTTTGTATGTTTTGAAAATGACCATCGCCATGGTGATCATGTTATGGTTGGTGACGTAGACCATTGTTTTCGCTTCTTCCAAAACTGGCATACTCCCGAACTGTTTACATACGGGGTGTGCATAGGGCTGAAAGAACGACATTTGAGGAGGAAAAGAGAAAGAAAGATAAAATTGGTAGTTGTTACATCCTTCATAGTCTGTTCCTAAGGCTACGCGTTCAGATAATACTGAATGCAGGCGAAAAATATAGCGAGCGAAAAATGGATGGGAGATTGGGAAGTCATTCTAAACTTTGTTTTCTTTGCTATTACAGATTAAAGCCGCAAGAGACATGTTTTATATGTAGAAGTGGCAGTAGAATTATCTTCGAGGACGATCACAGAGATGTGTCTTCAGAAATTCACTGGCTTCTTCCGGATAACATATGGCTTCATATATTTTCGTATTTGTCATTGCGGGAAAGATTTCAAGCATCATACACTTGCAGGCGTTGGAACAATCTTTGCAAAGATTCATTATTTTGGCGCGAAGTTGACTTCTCATTCTGCAGCTCTCAAAGAGTAACAGATGATACGGTTAGAGCGGTTACGTCATACGCTATAGGAATACAAAGCATTGATTTTTCAGGCGACCAATGCGAGTCAATCACTGACAAGACAATAGGTCACGTGGCGCGTTATTGTCAGCGCTTGCAGAAATTGAACATATCCGGAAGAGAAAGAGTTACAAATCGCGGGCTCAATCTTATTGCCAGGAACTGCACTCTTCTGGAAGAGCTGAACGTCGAGAACTGCGAAGAAATTAGCGACAAAGGAATTAAATCAATCGCCAAGAATTGTCGTCGACTTAAGGTCCTTTCACTTGCGTCTTGTAGCAAAATCAGTGATAAAGGCGTAAGGTTCATCGCTAAGAAGTGCAAAAATCTACAAAGCTTGAACATCGCAGGCTGCGGTGGAGTTTCCGATGCGAGTCTCATGACTATTGGTAAACATTGCCATTCATTACGAAATATCAACCTCAAAGACATCACTGGCATCAGCTTTTATGGTATAGAAAGCCTGGTCAGCAGTAACCCTGGAATGACGCATGTGCGTTTAGGGATCGTGGGGGACGCACAGAACACGATGATCGCTTTACAGATTATTGTTAAACACTGCCAAAAACTGCAATTTCTAAGCTTTCAACATTTCCACAAGACTGGCGTTGTTGCAGGAGGAGTACAGAAGATGAATAAGAAAAGGCTTGGTGCTTTCATCAATAGCCTAAATGCATGTGTTTTTTCAAATGAGAACAGATAAAACTAGGAACTGAAAACTGCCGAAAGCGGCAGAAATATAAAAGGCATCTTTAAAACTTCCCGGTCACAGGGATAAATTAATGAGAATTAATTGCTACCTCTCTCCTTGGTAAAAATTGCACGGTATGGCACAATTTAGGAGAGAGAAGATGAAATTTCATTTCCCTACAAAGGAATTATTTTCTAAATAGAAAAAAACTTCATAATATTGAAGAAAAATAACAGGGAATTTTAAAAAGACATTATTTTGTGTTGTAAATTTTGCATTATTCTCAGCTAGGATGCAAAGAAACTGTTAATTCAGTCAGATATCGGTAACCTGTCACTAGTCTCTGACTAGGCCATTAGTTTTGAAATTAAAACATGGACGATAAATTTAAATAGTTCAGTTAATAAAACCAATGTCGTCTAATAACTTTTATAGCTGCTAAAGTAAACGAAAGAAACTCTACTCATGTTTTATAACACGGGTCACTTGTCAGGTCAATCAAGGGAGATGTCTGTGTGTGCAAGGACAGTGGGTCAGTAACCATTTGCCCGATGGCGTCATTTTACTACAACTACCAGAATCGAACATACATTTTTCGTTTTCCTTTCACATGTAAATTTGCCAGTCTCAGTGAGATTTAAACAACAAAAGCGCTAATTTGCACAAGAAAGCGAAAAACTGAAGCATTTTGATAAAAGAAGTAAAATGACGTCATCCTGGAATTGGCCTATAGAGTACTAAAGTGATGACGTCATAAAAATGGAATTCCTGAATTATGGGTTTTTTCAGGATATTCTGTAAGAAAAATGTCCAAGAGGCGTACTTGCCAAAAATGAGCATTTCGGGGCAACTTGTCTCTGAGATGTTAGCCGGTTATACGCAGAAAACTCCATACAACCCTTCTAATTTTTTGGGGGGGTCGAACCAAAAAAAATTTACAAGGGTTTGTATGGAGTTTTCTAGGCAAAACTGGGCTACGATCTCAGAGACAATTTGCCCCGAAATGCCCATTTTTGGTGAGAAGGCCTCTTGGACATTTTTCTTTCAGAATATCCTGACAAATCCCATAATTTCAGAAATTTCATTTTTATGACGTCACACTTTAGTACTCTATTGGGCATTTTGAGTTTTAGCGAAAGACTGGTTCGATGCTATGGCACATTGCACTATGCCAGCCTCGTTCCCAGTCGTCCTCGGCGATTTTTCGGATGTGACGTCACGGCTGACGTCACCTGTCAAGCTTGTCGGGAAAATTCGCCTAGGACCCTCGGTTCCAAGCCTCCTCTGGCCACTCGGACAGCGCGAACAGGCCTGGGTACGAGGCTGGCACTATGGAACTGTTTTGAGGGCGCTATACTCTTTAATGACTATTATTAATGACTATTACGTCTAGCCTTACAGCCCTCTACCTCAAAATGACCAGTATATGAAAATACTGACAAACATCACGAAATTAGCTTTGTGGAAAAAGCTTGCTAGCTGCTAACGAGTGTAATAGGACATCTATGGCAAGCAGTACTGAGTCGAATGTGAATCGGAATGCAATTCCACATATTATACGTTGTAATATCAGCTGTGCAGTAGTCTTCTGACTTCTCGTTTTTTTCTTATGTTTTTAGCAGATTAGATCTCTTTTCTAGAGATCCAACGTTGACAATCAGCAGGATCTTCGTCCACGGTTTTTGCAGTTAATTTCCTTATGATGCAATTTTGAGGCAGTTTTCCGTCATTGATAGGCGAAAGCAATTTGATACTTGTTTTGGCTAAAACTCTTTGGCTGCTTTCTCTACCGATCAAGTTTTGGCTCCCCGCACAGGCCGATTTGTTCTAATATCGGACTCAGTTCGTCAGTGTCTGGGACAACCTTTAATGTCGCGCGTCTGACGATTCTGACCCGAAATTCATTGCGATAATTTACTTCCAGACTATTCGTAAGACTGTTGCAGGAGCCTCCTGACTGTCGAGAATTCAACAAAGTTATTCCGAAAATCTTCCGAAGTCACTCACGTTCAGCTATTCTTTAGGCGAAATAGTTCGACGAAAGCGGAAACTTGCAAGTAGAGCAAATACTAAGGCCTTTCGTATCGCTTCTCACTGTCTATCAATGGAAAAAAAAAAATCAAAATATCCTCAGCTCAAATGCCGACTCATCAGTCGGCTATGAAAATTAACGAGAGAAGTTCGAAAGGAGCACAAAGGATGATGGGAAGGAGGGAAGAGGTCTCTGCGGCCCTTTCGTTTTCCTCCTTCCCATCACCTATCGCGCGCTTTAGCTTCAATCACGCTGCTCGTGTTCCGTCCTTTAAGTGCGATCCAAATAGTGACGACTGGACCTTACGAGTCAAACCCAGATGGGTTCCTTTATTTGGGAGTTCGGGACCCCCAGACCAGTTTTCCTGGTTCTGTCGGTAGCTAGCCTGCGTAGCAGGCGCTTGGAAGTAGTTGGCCCCTCGCGTGTCTCCCTCGCGCGCGCCCGTTCTCTCTTTCGCCCACTACTTCCGACGACTTTTTTCATTTAACAGTGCTTTCATGAAAAGTTCCTTCGCCTCTCATCTTGCTAGAAACAGCGCGCGACAAACAGTAGAGGCGGGAAAATTGAAGCAGCATTGCCAGCAAGTCCATAGCGAAAAACCGTTGAGTAGTGCCGGATCCCTGTTGTAGACCTAATCTCGTACCCAGATCTCCCACGGCCAAGTGAAAACAGAGTGAGATCTGGGTACGAGATTATTGTAGACCTGGATCAGTACGGTAACATTTTTTATAAAATATAAAACGGAAAACTGATCCTTACGGCAAGGCGATGAACAAGTAAACGAAAGAATAAAACAAAACAAAAATCCACAAATTTGCCCAACATTTCGGTTTGAAAGTTTGTTTATGACCCCCCACCTCCCCTCCCCTACCGTTCACTACCAGGACTGTTTTTCGAATGCCTCAAGTCTTTTCAGGCTAGTAAGCTACTCTTCCATGCTTTCCAGACACATCCATAGCCTAATCTGCTTAGCTCAGGGTGCCTGTGTATCATGGACTAAGCTTGGTATGGCTGTGTAAAGATGTACCCACAATTCCTAGATGATTGATTCTGCTGACCAGCCATTGCAGAACAGATGGCTCAAAAAGATGGGCAAGGCGAATACAAATGTAGCATCTTGGAATCAGCTGGCCCCATTTATGTTGATCGCCAAGCTTCTATGATGATTTCACGGTTTATCTGGTAAGCCTGATATACAAGAAAGCACGTTGAACTTCTTTTCTCTCCGATCTGTTTGGCCTGATGCATTGCAATGACTATTTTCTTCATCGAACTATAGGTGGCTTTTTCAGGCTAAAAACATCTCTCTTTGATCGCGATGATGCGAATGTTTTGAGTTACTTCTGATCTGAAAGACTTTGCGACCCCTGTAGTGAAAGCTGAAAGCTTGCTGTTCAAGAAGAAAATGACAGAAGGTAATGAACTGTTTTAAAAAGACCTGGATTCGAAAAGGTTGGCTGCGGGCTACTGTGTTTACTCAGCAAATTTTGGCGCCAGTACGAATCGAAATAATCCCACCGTGTTCACAGATAAATCCCATGCTCTGTATCCGTTTATAAGCAGCTTTTAGATGATGTAGTTCTGAAAGAGTAATCCTTTCGTCAATTCGTCAATAATACGCCTGTCTGAGTGTTTAAACGCACCGTAACGATAAGCCAAAGAAGTGCGCCCAAGTTTCACCTCGATGTGATCATCTGATCACTAAATATTGTTGTTTCCTGAACTTCCTCCGATATAGGATTCGCAAACAAAAATTCAGTCTTTGTTTACTGATATTACATTAACGAGATTTTCCTATCTGAAACTCTTTCAGAATCAACAGAAGGTCGTTTTTACGACACAATTGAACAGCCGCATTGGAAGTCATATCGTAAGTTGTCATTTTCATTCTTTCACTGGCGTTGCCCTCGATCGTCACAGTGACTTTAAAATTAACAGTGTAAAAGCTTAGTTTTAACTTTTTTGATAGTCTACAGGCTACAGCAGAAAGCACCAAAAGCAAGGAGAATCGTTTGTCCCAAGGAGGTAGGAATGTTTTGTTTTCTATCTAATTTATACAAACTTGCATGTTCTTGTTAATGAGAGAGCACATTTTGAATAAAGATTCTTTAAACATAGAGATGTTAAAACAAAATTATAACCGTTGTGAGGGAAATCGGCTTATTGGTCTCATAAAATGCTCTTTTTAATTTGGCGATATTTCGATGAAACAAAGAATCTGAAAGTGTGGTGTTTCAGTAAAATTAAATTGGGAATTATCTTTCCGACCAATAGTTCCTTATAATTCATCTTAATTAGGTTTTATTGATGATTAGATTATCTAACTGCGGCCAATTTTTGTACTATGAAACTGTTTTTTAGTCATGGGCAAGAAAAGGTTAAAAAGAGAAGAGAGAGAAAAAAGTATTTCCTTTTTAAAGATTTTAAGTTATGGTAAAAAAAATACACATACTTATAGGTGACATCACTTATTAGCATTTAGGAAGTTAATCCTATTTTCTTTGTTGTGAGAAAACATTTCTGCTCTTTAATTTGTTATGCTAACCATTAAAATTGATAACCCTTACGCATGTTTATGTCAGAGGAGCAAATTTCTCAACCAAGCCTTGGTTTAAAATTTAAAGTTACGAGGTTTTGCATATTAAAATGAATCCTCAAGGCAGTAGAAGTGAAAAGAATGCTTATGCACAAAGAATGCAAATGTGAAGAATTTTGCTTACAAACGAGGCTTGTTGTAGAAATTTACTCATCTGACAAAGTCAAGCATAAGGGCCATTATCAATTTTACATAGATAACACATGCAAAAATTTTTTATTTTATTTTTTTAAGCATAAATTCATAGCTGTGTTGAGAAAGCAGAAAAAATGAGACCAAGTAGTTTCTTTTATTAAAAATGTATTTTGCCTTATAGGTAATTTTTTTTCTTATAGCTGGAGTATAGTATGACTAGAGTTAGTTGCTCCAAGCAATTTAGGAAGTTATACTGTAGTTGTTTAAAACTTTCTTTGTTCTGTAATGTACAGATACCAAATAAACCTGCCCACTATGGAAAAGAGTAAGTATAATAGTTGGATTATCTTAAAAGTGCAGAAAGTCAAACCAGACACTTGGAAGAAGATTGTCCAAGTACAACATTTTCTGAAAAAAGAAGATTCTATAGTTTTTTTGCTAATGGACCAAATAAATTTCAGGGCTCAACTATGCAACTGTTGAAAACTTTAAAACTGTTTGAAGTTACCTGACCTTTCAGGAAACAGCCCTCAGATTTATGAATGTCATTGGTCCATTTGCAAAAGAACTTGAGAATCTTTTGATTTCAGAAGATGTTATAATTGGACAGTCGTCTTCCAAGTGTCCTGGTTTGAGTGTCTGCACTGTAAATTCCTTGTGTAGTCAACTCTCACTTTCCAGTCACCTCAATGTTACAGACATCCCAATGATATGGAAATCAGCTAAACCCCCAACATTATTTGAGTGAAAGAAACTCTCACCATTACGGAGAGTGTCCACAATTAATAAAGAGTTAACAGTAGCCCTGTCAACACTGTTACTCGCAATGCTAATATTCTCCATGCATTTCAAGGTAAATTTTTCAAGCAAAAATGCTTCCTTTTACATTCCAAATACACCTAGTTGCTCTAGCAATTTACAGGCACAACATTAAAATAATCATTAACAAATAATCACAATGAACATACCTTTACATGGTAAAAAAATTACAATCGGAAGGAGGCAAACCATTTAAGGCAGTAAATGTCATCTGACAAATGCCTCTGAAATGGATGAAATTCTGTGATGTATGTAATATAAATGAAACCTAATACTGTTACCTTTATGGTACATTTCTTCTTGCCTATTTTAACAGACCTTTAATTGATAAATTATTCCTTTTTTTCTAGAGGACATAATTATGACCAAGTAGTACACTCTTAGTTAGATAGACCAGAAAATTTGTCAGACATATATGTTGCATGGGGTTGTTATTTTATTTTATGTATACAGATCTTCAGCTTTAAAGCAATAGTCTGTCTGGTCATCCTGTCTGACTTCGGAAATATTTTTATTCAGACTTTGTCCAAATTATGTAAAACTGTTATTTGCAACAAGGTAATGTAAATATTTTGAATTTTGATTTGTGGTAATAAAAAAGTGAATTTTATTATTTCTTTTGGCAGATTTCATGGTTGTATTTCACGTGAAGAAGCTGATGAACTGGTTTCGGAGGCTGATGGCTGTTATCTTGTTAGAGAAAGTCAAAGATCACCAGGAAGTTACACTTTGACAATGAGGTAAAGCTGTATAATATAACCGAATTTCCAATGTGGAGGCATATTTGTGTATGTTGCAGTTAATTTTTTATCTCAGGTAATTGGTGTCTTTCTTTTGTGTTTGGGTGCATGGTAACGAACATGTATGCTTATAAAATTGAAACAAAGGAAAAATGAAAATTACCTGAGTTAAAAAGATAAACTGCAACAGGTATGCTGTGGGATGTTACAAAGACAAACTACAGATCAAGACCCAGCACTCCTTTTCTCTTAGTTTCTTGTGTAATAAGGGAACAAAAATTGAATTCTCAAGCTAACCTTTAACCATTGTTGCTGTCTTTCTTTTTTGAAGATTTGGTGGTGTTTCCAAAAACTTTAGATTATATTATGATGGAATGCATTATGTTGGTAAGTGGTATGTTTGCAAATGTGTCTTAGCCTCTAAATTATCTGTCTTTAATGCTTGTTAACAGAACTAGAATTAGGCAGATGAACAAAAAAGTGTGTCTTGTCTTTTATCATCACGATAAAAGCGGTTGTGAGACTTCCCTTGCAGGTGCTATTTTAAGAATTGTAAGGGAAGTTCTTGAATGTGACCCTTTGTGTGAAACTTATAGTGTGATTGTAGAAACTGAAATAGTCACACAGAATGTAGATGGTACAATCATGTCTAAGTCGAGCCTTTCATTGTGAATGACCCCTTCAAGCCTATTATAGCTTAGTGAAATTGAAGATTAGAGCTTGAAATAATGTTAGAAAAGTGAACGTAATTACAGTACCTGAGTCCTTTGATTTGAAAAAAAGGACTAGCTCAATATAGTGATGATGATTATATGTACAGTGTAGAAATCAAATGTTTTTCATTTGCTGAAGGCATAGAAAATAGCACATGTAGAACTTAAATAGATCTCTTTAAAGGTTTTTTCAAGATTGGTTATTTTTCTTTTTCCACTTTCATAATAGTACATAAAAACTTTTTTACGCTCCAAAATGCTGCATCACTTCAAATTCATATTCAGAATAATGCAATATAACACATCCTTTATCAACAACAAAATTTGTAATTCCCAACTCATTTGGAACATTAGATGAATAAATTTGTTAACAAGTTAACAAGTAATACCCAATCACATCTCGGCAAACCTTTGTTTTTGTACAAACTGTCAACTATTAAAAATTAATGAAACAGAAATATTGCTTAGCAAGAGTTGTTTCATCCATGAGACCTATATTTCCCACCCTCTCTGACTATTATTTTTCCATTATTTGGAATCTTCAGACATGCACTATAACACTGTAAATTTTTAAAGATGTTTCGGCCCTCTTCATGGGTATAAAACTTAAGGAAGGATTGTTATATTCATATCTTTATCATCAGCACATCATTTGACTAATTTGCACCACACAATAGTGTATAATTTTAAACACTATTTTTACATGCGATGTCTAGATAATTTTATGTAATGAGAATAGGTATTTCTAATACCCCTTTCTTTAAAATTCTTGAAGTTTTGCTTGTACCATCAATGATATTTCGCTGAACTGCCTGCTTCAGTGTATGAGTTCTCTTTTAATTCAATTTTGACCCTTTAAGATAAACTCTGAAGGAAAAAGAAGCAGTAAAAAACTAAAGCTTTTGTTCATAGTTCCCCTCAGGGTGCCGGTTTTTATTTTGCATTTGTGTACAAAGAAGGCTTGCACAGCATGTGTCAGCTTTCTACATAAAAGCCATGCTTGTCTTGATATTGTTTTAGCTTCTACAAAAGTGAAATACACAGGTGTCTTCCCTGTTAATGCAAATCACAGCCAGCTTTCTTTCTCACATTTCAGGGGAAAAACGATTTCAAACCATACAAGATCTTGTTGCAGATGGACTCATCATAATGTACATTGATATGTACGCAAAGGACTATGTTGACACCATGATGATAAGTCCAGCAGTGAAGGCGGGAGAAGAAAAGAATTTGGACACGGATGAAACCAAGGAGAAAGAACCTTTAGATCAACCAGATGCTATGGGAAAAGATCAGGTATTTTCAACAACTAAAATTAGCCAAGCCTTTGTCATCTATTACTTTCCATGTTTACTATGTTCATTATATCCTCCATGCTTATTAAGAGTTAACTATGGCAGATCTGGCAATCAGTCTCAAATATTTGCCCATCATTTTAGATATGTGTACACCGTATTTGCTTTTAGGATAAATCATGCCAAAGTTGAGTTTCTTTGATATTTTGAAATTCCTATGTTTGGCTTAAACTCAGCTTTATCATCAGATATGCAAACAAATGTCACTATTCATCTAAAAGTGAAACAAAAAAATCATGATTTTGTGCATTGTATGTCTACATGGATGATTTTTTATCCTGAAATTGTTAGAGGTCTGTAACTGAATCTCAGTAGCTTCAAACAGGTCATTTTAGCGGTAATAGAGTACTGTGATTCCTTCTTTTTGTTTGAAGATGAGGGCTTTATCTAACATGTGTTCCAAGAATATGTAAATTATTCCACAAATGTGTTTAAGAGTAGAAATTTTCAAGATATCTACCTTGAACTTAAATCATTTCTCAACTCTTTTTTTTTGTTAAGTTATGAAGGAATTGAAGAACAATTTTATTATTGAAATTGTATTTCCTGCTTTGTATATACAAAATACTGGACAGTTATACAGTCATGAATGTGCAAGTTCTGCAGGTTATAAAGTGCTAAAAAAGTTTTTGTTTTTGTGTTTATTATTGAAATTATTACTTGGTTTATTTAACCTTGGTTTATAGCTATAAAATCAATAAATTGAAACTGAAACCTATAAATGTATGTATTTAACCATAGGACCAACTGATTTCAATTAAATGCTCTTCAAAAAATCTAATTTATAGCTAGTGGATGCAGTTTTGTCAGATTACCTTATTTACATTGTTTACTGTGTACAGCGCTACATTCGTATTCTGAACATAGAACCTAGCTATTACTGTAGTTTATTTGTAAAGTACAAAAATAGAACTGACATGCTGTAAAACAGTACGGTAATGATAATTACTGTAAGTTCTTTAGCTTTCCTTTTTAACAAAAAGGTTGATGAATTGTGATTGATGTCTTGATTGTCTTTCAATCTTGTTTTCAGTCACATTAAGGTGGCTGAACACAGTTTTGCGGGCGGTCAGCGGTAGCGCGTGTTTTAAATTAGACAAACAAACATGGCGGCGAAAAAAGCATTGGTACACAGACGACGATTTCTCAAAATCTACTCTATAAAATTTTGTGATATTTGGCAAAATTTTTACTTTTATCGTATTTTAAATGATGAGAACTTTAAAATGGAAGTTGAACAGACGAATTTTGTGACACATTTAATAATTACGGTAGAATTATATTATTGATTATCTAAAAACCCCTCTGTTAAAATTTGGTCAAATAAGTTTCAAATGGTAGTGATTAATTATAGTAAGCTGTGTGCGAGTTTATGGGAAAATCTAATGAGAGAATTTTATGTAAACTGAGTAACGGTGAAATTTTAAGGTTGTATTTAACCGTTCACGTTGCCATGGAAACTACGAAAACGTCAAATTTTACCTGTCAGTCAAACTCTTTCATCAGTATATTTTTCATTTGCTAAGTTTCAGCTTGTGAGCTGCAACCTTTCTCCTGCCACAATTTGGCAAATGACCTATACTCAGAAACTGCCAAAACTGTGTTCAGCCACCTTAAACTGACAGTGATTGCTGTACTAAATTTAGTAAAATTTCTTTGCTTAATTTGGTAACTATGTAATCTACTCACCCTTAAAATTACTGGGTTACATACAAGTAAAGTGTATTTGAGGGATTATTTTTTAAATAGTGGATTTTTTCCTTTTAGTCAATTCTTTTTCAGATGTAGACAAATATCCAGGTTGTTTGGATTTCCTGCTAGCCAAACATTACAAAAATGACTGGTCCATACAAAAAGTTGCTGCAGCTGCATCTCCTTCGCGATTTCTTCACATTTGGTGGTTTTTTTATTTCACAAGTTTATTTTGTTGATTGTGCTCTGACGTGAATTTTTTGCAGACTTTAAAAACATGATTCTGTCAAAACATATAATAAAATTCAATTTGCTGGACCTAGACAGACCTTTTGCTTCAGATTTAAAAAATGTAAGAAAAGTTTGGGACTTACTGTACATTACTTGTCAAAATTGATCGAAACAGAATTATCCTTTGTATTCAATTTACTGCCCAGAATGCTCGAAATCGCATTTTAGAGTATTGAAATTCTTAAATTTTCAAGGGGTGCTTGCCCCCAGACTCCTCTAGAAGAACGGGAGTAAAAGCCTCTTTTCAATACAGTCGGTTACCTTTTTTCAAACCTGCTGGCTACTTCAATTTTTATTGAAACCCCTGAACAAGCATCTAATTTCTCCTTAAGATAACATGCTTAATCAAACATACCCTTCTGTAAGTTTTCTGAGAAAATAATTGTTTATACACTGTTGGAAAATGTGTGTTTGAGAACCGAAAAAGTGGGAGAGACAGTGTGATAAAACCTCAGTTCCCACGCTGTGTCCAAAAATACCTTCAGTAATGTTAAATATTTGATTATGTGGTGTTTTATTTGGTGTAAGTCAATTTATTATAATCCGCATTACTTTTCTTTTTATTCAGCTATGAATAAGATATACTCGTGAATTATTAATCTATGAAAGAATTATTTTGCTTTTGAAATTTCTTATCGTAGCTTTGAACATAGCCTTTAAACGTTCTCTTAGCTGAAAATTTTGTATAACATTCTTTGTACCAGTTTTTTTAAGAGCTACATGTTCACCAACAAAAATTATTGTTGGGAAGGTGCTTTCATGGACTGCGCCATGATGTGTTGTTCAACCTTCTGGCCAGTTGTGGTAATGTGATTTTACTAATGTTAGGATCAGAAAGAATAATAATATTTTTGTCTTTTCTGTTGAAAGTAGCGTAACTCAACATCATCTTTGCTTGTTTGTATTATCATAATCTGTATTGTGATGTGACGTTTAAGTTCTGACTAGCATTCCAGTTGTAGGTGTAGTGATGCTCAGTTGAAGTTAATAGTCTCTTGCATCTTGATCTTTAGTGTTTTTTGAGATCAATTCTCTGTTCAAGTTTTAAATGTAGGTCGAAGATACTAAACAAGTTGAACTTCCACCACTCAATAAAACAGGTTAAAGATTAGGTGGCATTTTCAAACATTATACCATACAGAAAAAATCCAAGAGTCAACTAAAGTGCCTTCTAATACCAGCATGTAATGAATGTTGTGTCTGATAATCTGGGCAAGTGAAGTTTTCAGGGGGAGTTCAAATTGCAGAAGAACTGTAATCAATTCTGTTTGTCAAAAATTTTTTAGGGTTAGTTAAATTTGATTCTTTTAAAGCTTCCCTGAAAAGCTGTAAAACTGACTCTCCTTCCACCCTGAATATCTAATGGTTAGAAGAACGTCTTTGGAGACTGTTACAGTGTGATTATGGTACAATGTTACCTACTCCCCTTGTTATAGTGGGAGTCTCGCACCTGACGATCATGAAAAATATATTATAAAGTCAAAACTGGAACTTAGACATGAAAAGAAAGTTCCATGTGATTTTATAAGGGAAAGCACCAGGTTTGACAACTTCAGAATATATTTTTTAAAATCTTTAGTACATGTTCAGAAATGCTGTGATGAGATCAGATGTTTTCAGGTCCTCTTTGAGAAATCTTGGCACTCTCAGTACAGAAAACTTTTGTCACCCCCTTCCCCTCACCAAAAAGTTAGCAGTTAGTAGATTAAGGCATCTTTGTTAATTTGCAGTTTACCAACAAGCAAGTAAAGCTTGTTACCTCTTCACAGTGTAATTAATATTAGTAACTTTACCATCAGATTCAATGCAGCATCTTGCTCTCCAGTGAAGCCTACTTATTTTTTTTTTACTTTAGTTGCACTCTTAATCAATCAATCAATCAATCATTTATTTTAACACGTTTCGTCAAAGAGCTAAAAAAACTCATTCAAAATACGAACGTGTAATAACCATTTTTGCTTTTGCTTTTAGGGAGATCAAAAATTTAACGTTGGCAAGCGACAGAGTGTGAAACCTTCAGCATATAAGAAAAGTCACAACTTCAAGGTAAGTGCAGAAATACTAGGGGTAACCACTGAAGTCATTTTGGCAATTAACCCTGTAAGTCCCAATAGTGACCAACATTAATTTTCTCCTAACAACATCCATACATTGTCAAGAGATTAGGTTATGAGAATTAGTAAAATGATCACCAAGAGAAAATGCTTTGATCTTTTATCAAATTCTCTCAACTCATTCTTTAAGGAAATATATAGAGATCAGTTTGGAGAATTTGTATGTGGATATTGGGGCTTAAAGGGTTAATAATGGTAATAGGACTGAGTGGAGTCCAATTTGGTCTGTAATCATATGAGTGCTGAACATAATCGGACAGGTATATTTAACCTTATTTCATCCAGCATGAGGCTTGCTTTTATGACTAATAAGATAAATTTTAATTCTACTGTAATTTGAAGTCAATTTTCAACTGTTTCCGTATTTTTTCTGATTAAAAAATGTGCTTGTCCCACGGATAAGTCATGTCAAAGGTTTACATGTCCGAACTAAGTTTCTACCTGTCCCAGATGATCGGACATAGGTTTTGGGGCACCCTGCAGCTCATAGCTGTATTGCTTGGATATCATTGTAGCAGTCTCCATTGTAGGAACTGTTAATTGCCAGTACAAAGTGTAAGTGTATTGTGTTTAGGTTGTTAGTGATTAGTTTCCATACAGTTTTGACTCTGTTCTGGTATTAAATCTACTAGATGAACACTTTCAGAGGACCGCACTGGTGCGACCATTGTCGAAACTTTTTATGGGGACTAATTATGCAAGGAGTCAAGTGCCAAGGTTAGTATTACACACCATGGAAATAAATTAAATAAAATTATATAAATTTTATATAATTTTGTTCTTGAGCAGAATACAGCCTAGTACTCATCTTCCACTAATAATTAGTGAAAGATGCGTACTAGTATAATATAAAATATTATTATACCACAGATGATGAATATAATTATGTTGCAAACATGTTAGCTTGTGTTGCTGGACAATCTACGGTAAAAATTTATGAAAGTAGTAACAAGGATGACATCTTTTGTATTAATTTATTTTTTGATTACCTCAACCCTTGTTCTTCTTGATTGTTTTCACTGGATCATCTTGGTGCAGATAATCAAGGTTCAACTATTTTTTTTATCTTAAATTTTTTATTTTATTATAGATTGTGGATTTAACGCACATAAACAGTGCAGTTCTGTGATCCCACCCAACTGTCAACCTGACAAGAAATATATCAGAAGAGGTAATTTTAATATTCAATCACAAAGTGAGAACTTTGAGAACTCATATCATTTTGGCATTGTACCGTGGTCCAGGGCTCGAAATAATGGCTGGTTAACAGACAATGTCCAGACTGATTGGGGAGTTGACTAGTCAACCTTTCATCTTGACCGGTCACATTCGATCGTGTTAAAAATGAAATGAATTAAAATTTCTATGCTGTTCAATCAGTGTGTAGCAAGTCGCTGTGTATTGCAGATTTTTGATCTGAAATCCTGGGTAAAATGCAACTACAACTGTTGTTTGCAGTCAACACATTGAAACAGACATCGGAGTTCACACACTTCCGGTGACAAAGTTAAAAATATTTTCACTTTTATTAGTCAAGCAATGAGTTTTAAAATTTTTGGAAGCATACAATGCCAGTTTTGGTTCATGGGCCCTTGTTTTAGGAGTTATTTATCTTATAAATTTGACCAGCAGGAAAAGATATGTAACCAAGCTAAAATGAATTAGGCTGGTCATCGTGTCCAGAGACTCTCTGGAAATTATTTCGAGCCCTGTGGTCACTGTACCGTAGCAGTGAATCATGAAAAAAGCTTGGTTCCTGTGTTTTTCAAGGTCTCTGTTGATCACCTATTTGGTAACGTTGAGTCTGGAAAAATAAAGTATTGTTTTAGAAGAAAGCCTGCAAAGAGTCTTGAACTATGGATCCAAAAATCTGTACGAAACCTGGCTAAGTGAACAGGTGTACCAAGAATTTATAGAGCAAGTAATGGTTTTTGCCTTAACATATACTACACTTTATCATTAATATAAACCCTGATGATATAGATGTTGTTCTCAACTAGTAAAGTATATTTTTTTGTTTACTGATTCAATAAAATAAAATATAGCTTAACTTACACTTGCGTGGGTGTAGATTAAGGTTCCAAGCTTATTTGCAATAAAGAACAGAAATTTAACCCATTGAAAAAAGAAATGGAAACAATGTCACTTGTGTCTGTGTGCCTTACTCTTTTCAAAATTATGGCAGTATCTGTTGTTTTGGATTCCTCTTAAATAAAATCGATGAAGAGATGGGAGGAGAAGAGCCAACAGATTAACATAACCACCCAAAAATAAAACTGAGACGAGGTATTAATCACAGCAGCATGTTCTCGAATTTTTTAAGTATTTTGTGGAAACCCTAATAGCCTGGAGCCAGGTTTGAACTGATGACTGGCCACTCCTCGACAAATGTTCTCGTACATCAGCCAACTAAGTTCAGAAGTTAGTGATTACTAAATTGTCTGTCTTTATCGCAGTGTTTGGTGTTGACCTGACAACACTTGTCAAGCTACACAACACCAAGAGGCCATTTGTTGTGGAAGCCTGTGTCAAAGAGGTGGAGAGCAGAGGTTTGATTTAGCCTTTGCATATGTGTAGCACTTAATATGATGTTTCTTTTTTAGCTGCCCTAACTCTCAGTTTTAAAAGTAATATGCTCTAAGTGCTTGTGATTGGTCAATACACCTTTTTGCTTGTCTGTTTTAACACATTCATTCCCAATGTTAGACAAAGCAATTTTTTGTGTAAAAAAATTGTGGTGAAAAACTAAAATTAAAGTAACAGTTTGCAAAAGTTAACTAGTACCAAAGAGGTTTCATATGAATGGTATCACCCAGGATATCACCCAAGGGTTAGCCTGAATGCTCATTAAGAGCTTATTTGGAACAGTAAAGATTTCATTGGTAATTATAAATCTTCACTAAATTATCTTTTTTTTCCTAATTTCCAACTTAACAGGTTTAGACAGTGAGGGAATTTACAGGATTTCAGGATTTGCTGATGATATTGAATCACTGAAGAATTCTTTTGACAAAGGTAAAGTACAAGTGATCATGTTTAAAACTGTAAGTTATTCCAACCATAACCAATGTAAGAGCCAATCATTTTGCTAGTCAAGACTAGCATTTTGAATTAAAGATCTGCATAATACTGAAAGAAGTTAACAGTTCATAAGTCTTTCCATCTTCGACTTTTGACCCTCTTTTCTTCAATTGATGTGAAACAGCTCTAGCTCATAGTTTGAGGAGGCCTAACCTCTCATAAGCTCCTATGGTTTCTGTTAGGTCTCCTCGCCACTTGTTTTTTTCTTCTTTTCCTATATTTTTTGTAATTATTGTGTGGCAAATAAAGTAAATTAAAAAATAAAAATAAAAGATTCATTGTTATTTAAGAATGACAAAATTTCCGCTTTTTGTTCTAAAGTAATTATTTTGCAGCTCTGTGACAGCACAATAGTATATCTTTTTATGAAGTGAAATTAAAGGAAAACTTGGGCTAATCTATACAATTTTATTAACACATTCTTATAACTTTGTTTAAAAATGATTTTTCATTCTCTGTCATCAAGTTCCTCCAACTGAAACATATTTTCCTTATAATTTGGATGCTGCAAGAAAAACAGAAACAAAAGACTGTCATCAAGAGCAAATACAAGTTGGGGAGCTTGTTTCAGGTTGAACAAGCCCTATTCTAAATTTTATTGATCCGCATTTTTTTGTTGTTTTTTCTCAGATGGAGAGATTGTGGACCTGAGTGCGTATGACGACATAAACATTATTTGTGGCACCTTGAAGCAGTATTTTCGCATGCTTCCGATTCCTGTCATCACATTTGAACTGTACAACAAATTTATAGATGCAGCAAGTAAGTACAGTCAAGTTGGTGAGAAAGATTCTGTCATGTAATTCAAAAGATATAGTATAGCAGTGATTTTGTTTGTGAAAAATCATGAGTCCCAGTTCAAAAACACGAGTTCCTGAGTCTTTTATGTAACCACACAGTTAATTTAAAGACAGACTCCAAAACTCCGTGTTACAGTTTATTAAAAAAAAAAAATCACTCCTTCTATTGTCAAGAACAACAGAGAGGGAAAGAAATATGTGATGTTAAACAACAGCCACAAGAACAGCCACAGAAATCACACAAACAGAATATTCTACAAAAACATGGTCAGATCGATCAATCAATCTTTGCAGCCTTTGGGATGCATACCACAAATTATCTTGTATCTTTGAGAATTTTTATGCATCAGGGACACAGGATGCAGAGGTAACAAAATCACTGGTACAGTCAAGTCTCTCCACTGAAATTTGAACTTTGATCCATTTTAAGGCAGAGAAAGAAAGAGGCATTTTTATTCACCTTGGCTCTTGGAAATAGCTAAGTCCCCTAAACGTGGAAGTTACATGCACTTGTGCCTTGCTTGGGGTCTACTCATCAAGTATCTTTTTGTTTCAGAAATTTCCAGTAAATATGAAAAGGTAGAAGCACTCTCAAAAGCTCTTCTAGAACTTCCACCTTCTCATTACGAAACACTTAAGTATCTTTTGGGTCATCTATACAGGTAAGCTAACAGTAGTATTAATGGACATGCTCCAAATTACAAATTTGTGAATGAAAGCTCTGTATTAATTGCGTAAATGGACGGTTCACTAGAAATAACTATTAATTTATTTTACTTGTTAACAGAGTTGCAAAACGTAAAAGTGAAAACATGATGAATGAGGAAAACCTCTCAATTGTCTTTGGACCAACACTAATGAGGGCACCGGAGTCTGACTCGCTCAATGTTCTAACTGAAATGAAGTGTCAAAGACTGGTAATAGAAAGCCTTATTTCTTGTCAAGATGTCCTGTTTGAAAGCTAGCCATGATCAAATCACTCTTACAGGCCTCCAGTTGTTCAAAAGGTAGATAACTCTATCCACTGGATAAATTCCTGTCCAGTGGATAATGCAATTGGCAAATCCCTAATACTTATCCATTGGAAAGTGATTTATCTGGTGGATAGCACCATCCAGCTTTTGAACACCTGCAGCCTGGTTAATAAATCTTGTCATAGATAGTAGTCACAATTTTAATAAGTTTGCTCTTTCCTATCTCCTTGCCCTAAGTCCTAGTACTATTTTGTTCAAGATGACTAGGGTACATACATCCGGTCAATTTGATCTTCGTCATGATTCGTTTGGTTGGTCGCGGTGAAACCATGCATGACCTGTAGCAGCAGTAGAGTGCTTCTTATGTGCTCACATCCGATCTCCCTCTCTGGTTCTTCTATGATTCATTCCCTGGTTGCAAGGGAGAAATTGTGCTGGGGTTAGGGCAAGGAAGTGGCGAGCACTTGAGGCGTGAACATTTTCAAAAATAGCCTGGTTGTTCAAAGGTTGGATAGCGGTATGTGAATCATCCAGTGGATAAATAGTAGGAACCAATGTTATCTTCTGTGATTTATCTGATGGATATCATTATCCATCTTCTGAACTACTGGGTCATGAATTTAAACTTTTCTAAAGCCAATGCTCAAAGCGTTTATGACTAAAGCTAACTGATTGTATTCAACAAGTATTCCTTTAATTTGAAACAAAGATATTGTTATTTAACCAATTTTAGTCTTCTTAAAATCTCGCTGTTGAATTTTAAATTTCAGTTCATCCAAATATTGGACCCATGTGGGCATATCGTGCCTTTTAGTGCATGTACAGTTTTAAGAAATTTTACTGAAGTGAATATTGTTTTCAAATAGAAAACAAATTAATAAATGTAAATCATTCAATAACTATCCATTTTTATATTTGTTTGTGTTTTTTTTTGACATGTTTTGAAAAAATATCTATGCATTTTAAGTAAAGTGGAACAACAAGACAACAAACCACCAAGGTCATTGACTGCCCCCTCAAAATACGTCCTGCATCTTTCTTTTCCAGAGCAATTTTATCAGGTGGTAAGCTCTCTTTCAGCCGTTGAAATTGGTCGAGATGAGTCTCTAGGGTGAATTTGCTTGAGAACATCATGTGACATACATTAGGAAAACAAAACCAGCAGGCTAAATAGGTCTGTTGGGATTCCACTTTACTTTTAAGTTGGGTGTCCTGTGTGAAAGTTCTATGTTAAATACATCTTCTTGCTCCAGACAACTCTTTCAAGGCTTTGCTTTAATAATTATTATTTAGAGCCCACAAAGTGTCAAACTGTGAAACATAGGATGCCCACCACGTAATATATTTTTTAAAATGTTGAGTCTTGAACGTCTTAAAAGTAAAAAGAAATTAAGGAATTTTTAAAAGAAACCCTGACCCTGGATTTCTCGTCTGTTGTTACGAGACAATACATTGTAGCTTTGGAAGGATGTTTTCATAAAGGATGCTTCCCCAAATACGAAATTTATTACACCAGTTCTGTTTGATACTGGTATTTTAATCTTATATTTTAAAACTCTGTCACCTGTCTCGTTTGTTAAAAAATTTGTTATATTTTCAGAGAAAATATTGGTAGAAGTAAAGAAAATAATTATTACAGACATTGCGTTGAACTAAATAGGTAAATCATTGTAATAAAGGTTTACGACTTCTTATCTTTTGGGGCTCTTGTTGTACAACTTACTAATTCTAAACTCAAAGAGTTGGGGCATTAAAGCCAAAGCCATATTTTTCATATACAGTTAAAGCTCTCGCAAGCAACCACCTCGGAAATTCAAAGTAGTGGTTGTAACTAGAGCTGGTCCCTTACGAGAATGAGCTCTCGCAAGTGACCGCATGGTAAAACAATAGGGGGTGGTTGCTTACGAGAACTGCAGAAACCTATTAATAATTCATAAAGAAAAAACAAAAGAAATTTGTTTAATGATTGTCTTAAAGGTTCAAGTTTATTTTGCACTATTCAAGTTGATACAGTATAAGATGGCTTACAGAATCAGTAGGTTAACAAATAATGAAAAATAAATATGATATACAAGTTTGTTGATATGTGCACAGTGACCAAAGTAGCCAAAGCTTTCGTGTTTCGGGTTTTCGTATTATATCTGATGTACACATGGCTAAACTTTACGTCCAATTTTTTAGACCATTAGCGCAGTGTGCAGTTTCATTAGTATTGATTTAAATGAATAGGGCTGAGTGGTTGCTTACAAGAGCTTAAAAACAAAGGAGAAGTCCAGTTGGGTAATCCAAAAAGTAGTGGTGTTCGCTTACGAGAGCTTGTCATTACACAGATCAAACAGGGTTTCTCAAAGCTGGTCGTAACTAGCGCTGGTCGCTTATGACAGTGGTCACAAGGGTAGCTTTTCCTTGAAATATCACGGAGAGTTTATTCCATCCACAGGCAGACCATTCAAACTGTTCAGGTATCATGCACGATGTTACGCACATGTGATCTCATACATTTACTGTATTTCATAATGCCTGCTCTCAGCTTTGATTCAATTGATCAGGAGAATTTCTTTATAAAACACAGAAGTTTGCACTTTTTGAACTTAAATGTTGAAATAATGTAAGATGAATTTACATAGCATACATTTCGGTGTCATGTGTTTTTGTGATGTTTTGAGTAGTTTAAAACGGACACTACCCTCTAATGGTTGAGGGTGTCAGTGTGTTATTCATCTTTCTTACCCGAGATTAACATTTGGGATCAAAAGGTGAAAATTTCTGTGTATTATGAAGCATTTCTCCCAATCACTTGGATCAAGCCGAGAGCAGGTGTTACAAAATGTGTGACATCACGACACCTCAAACAGTTGAAATGGTTTGCCTGTGTTCCATCCCAAAATCTTTTCATTAGGGTGGAGAACTTGTCACTGATAAATGGTCGGTAAGAGATTGAGGGAGTCTAAATTGCCTGGCAGGACAGGAGAATAGATGATATCATTGACGGGTTAGGTGTGGGGATTTTTCTCACTTGACATTCCCCTGCCTGGCATTTCGCACTTCCTCATAGAATTCATTTACTGTTTGAATCAAGGGAACAACATTTTAAACTCGTGTACTAATCAACTGTACAAAAAAAAAATACATGAAAACCAGCTAGGGAATGCAAGGGATAAAAATCTTAAAACTGCATAAAAAGCTATNGTTTAAAACGGACACTACCCTCTAATGGTTGAGGGTGTCAGTGTGTTATTCATCTTTCTTACCCGAGATTAACATTTGGGATCAAAAGGTGAAAATTTCTGTGTATTATGAAGCATTTCTCCCAATCACTTGGATCAAGCCGAGAGCAGGTGTTACAAAATGTGTGACATCACGACACCTCAAACAGTTGAAATGGTTTGCCTGTGTTCCATCCCAAAATCTTTTCATTAGGGTGGAGAACTTGTCACTGATAAATGGTCGGTAAGAGATTGAGGGAGTCTAAATTGCCTGGCAGGACAGGAGAATAGATGATATCATTGACGGGTTAGGTGTGGGGATTTTTCTCACTTGACATTCCCCTGCCTGGCATTTCGCACTTCCTCATAGAATTCATTTACTGTTTGAATCAAGGGAACAACATTTTAAACTCGTGTACTAATCAACTGTACAAAAAAAAAATACATGAAAACCAGCTAGGGAATGCAAGGGATAAAAATCTTAAAACTGCATAAAAAGCTATTGTTTCACTAAGAAGTGTTGCATTCAAAAAGAAAAACAGATGTTTATAAGAAAAGGTCTGAAGACAACTAACAGGTCTTTTTAATTGGAATAAAACTACTATTAATTTTATGAACTAAAATACATTACCATATTGTAACACAGTTGGAAACTTATTTCAGCATTGAATTATCTCTTGATTTTAGAGAATATAAAAACATCTGTTTTGTGTCAAGACCTTGAACTTAGAATTAGAATGTTACAACTACTTCAGGAAAACCAAGTAATGGAAATAAAAATATATTTTTAGGTTGTTAGATAAAATGTTTTCGATGCAGTGCAGGTCACCATTAACAGTGCACACTGAAACATTACATCACAATAAATACTTGCAAACACAATCATAATTTACAAAAGCACATTTTAGGTATACTCTTGGTATACTACAATATATTAACTCTACAAGGAAAGAGTTTTTATTGTTTAACAATACACCAATATTGCAAATCCTGATTGAGTCCATGCCCCTGCAAGACAGCATCTCCGTCAAATGATATCTCATCATCGCAAAACTCCCTTGAAAACTTGTCGGTGACACTATATTTTACAGACTGAAGGATGCCACATTTTTCTGCAACAAAGTTACTTGGTTGTCACTGTGTATGTACAATGTCAGTCATGTTTTAACGGGCAGTTTTTCTTTCAGAGTTGGTCTTTCTTAGATCTAGCTTCAATTTTATTCTGAAGTGCCGTGACACCGATCCCAGCCATTATTGATCCTACGACACAGCTTTGAGCAATCACTCGTAATCTCATGAGATATCTGCTGGTTGTCATAGCTGGGCCTCTGTTCTTGTATGCAATAGCTCCCCAGACACATGCTGCCACCGTTCCAGCAATACCTGTCATTATCAACAGAAAACTGGTCAAATAAGGTTTAGAGAGCCTAAGGCAGTGACAACAGAATTGCATAAATGCAGTTGCTCAGTTTCAAAATTCTAGACGGTCCAACCATTTGGGTATGTAAAATTGGGATATTCAGATCATGTATTGGTGACAATTCAGGATTTTCAAGCAAAATCAGGGGAACCCCGACAAAATCAGGATGGTTGGAAATTCTGAAATTCTTGTTGCAACTCCCTGTTATGGATTCTTGTTAGCAAGACAGGGGTCTTTCTGAAGGTATCATCATCACAAAAGAAACAAAGGCACCAAACAAATAGAGTTCCCCTGCGGGCCTTATTGCTTGGTTGTATTGTTCTTGTACGTAATCTGTTAGAAATGAATTCATACAGATTCCACAATTTTTTCTTCAATCCCACCCTATCAAAAAAAACCTGGGATCTAATAGAACATCCTTGAAAACGTGAAATTGCGCATAAGTAAACAATTAACAAATTTGAAAACAGGTCATGATAATAGATAATTAAAAGGTTAAATACAGGCAAAGCCCCCAGGGGGGGGGGGAGACTCTGCACATAAAAGGGGTTGGGATGCTTGTCGGAAATTTTGAATTAAACCCCTAAAGGAGACCCATCTGGGCGTGGCCCAAGCTTAAAACACAGACAAACGAAAACCCCGGGGCAAAGCCAGGAAAGAAAACAACAGCAACAAGTTTTACATGGACCTTCCTTATATAAGCTTGCTTGAAAAATATTCCCTGCCAAACCTGTGGGACAGGTTTCTTTCTCTTACTATGAAACAAACTATTATAACTTAATTAATACAAATTATTTAAATGATTCCAGGCGGAACTCATTGCATCATCTTCCCTTCTTGGAAAATATTCTTTCCGCGTCCATGAACAGTCGCACGCACAGAGTGGCACGCACAGATTTCGTGCACTATTTCTACGACCATCCCATTTTCAGTAAAATCTTACACTTTTCTTTCCAATCGCACGATTTTTTTTACTTTAATTTATAAACTAAGCCGGAATACATTACGTAACGTGTTGTGATCATTTTTTAGTGTTTCTTTCAATGCCGGCTACCATGCGAGCAGAGGCCCTTCGATCTTCCTAGCTAAGAAACACATTTAGTACTAGAAATCCCTATCACTGGGATTGCTGTGATTGAAGATTGCAGAGAGTAAGTAAGCTTGAAAGAGAGCGATATCTCCCGTCTACAAACTGGGACTAGAAATTTTCAGAAATTTTGCATTCGATAGCTAGTACCGAAGAGCGCGTTGACATTTTTTTAAGGTGTCAAAAGATCTTTCCTTGTCACTTTTATACAGACCACTGAAATGAAAATATAGATTTAAAGAGCTTTAATTTTGGTATTCGTCGACAAAGAAAATTGTAGTTAAGATTGACCAGATGAACCCCGATTTAGTCGATTTAGTACATCACTCACCGATGGGGATAAACGGCGACTGTTTGCTTTTCCTGAGAAATCTGTCCTCCTCTGCTTCTTTCTCAGCCTCAGTCATAAACTCTGCACTCAATTGTTGGACGGTTGGAGCCATTTTTTTCTAGACAATAGTATTTCTGCAAATTTTTAGACGTATACAACGCTTTCTTCGCCTTCGAATGTATTTGAGTTGCACGCAATGCGCGCACTTATTTATAATCCATATTACGCAACATAATTCTGACGTCATATTGATACTGTATTTCTCGATCTGCCGTCTTGAGTGTCACGATTTTCGTTTGAAATATGTGAACTTCAGAATATGAAAAGATATCATAGCTTTTAAGGAATTACCACAGGGTGAAACCCAGAGTGAGTCTTTTTTTTCCCTTGTTTTTTCTCTCTTTTTTTTGGCGCTTTTTTTTCCACATTACTTCAAAATATTTCAAATGGTGCTCCGTACTGCAACATTTAATAGGATTTTTTTTCCAACCATCGATATTGAATATGTTTCTTTTCCGTTTTTTCTTTTGGAATTTTTAAAATAAATACCGGTAATAATATTAGCAAAATGCAATTTTTTCACTTTCTGGATTTATTGGCTGACATCGACATCAGTCACGTACAACGTTCCAAAATCTCGGCAAAAATTCGTCGACTGTAAGCTATTTTAACAGTGGGCTTGAAAAGCGAGGGCGTACACGCGTATAATGTAAACAGAAGAAAATTGGCTAATAAAAGGTCAATTATATTCATAAACTGTTGGGATTTGATTCAGAAGTCTGCGGCCTTTTCACACTTTGAGGTTTTTTGAGCCTCCCCGCCAGAAAAACATTTCTAATTCTTTTAATTGTGCAACATTTCAGTACCTTTTAACCTTTAACTTTTTCTTTCACATACATATGCATTACAACAACGTGTTTAAAACGACAACAACTGTATTTTTATGGGAAATTAAATAAACTGAAACGCTTTTGCGGACAAGAGAGAAAAATCGCAATTTGAATGACTTGTCTTCTTCAGAATATATAGTCTGTGCTGAGAGTTTTCCTCATCTAGTCGCGGGGTTAAATCATAAATTAATTGAATTTGAGACTAATCTGTAAAACATTGTTGCAATTTGCGCCGTTCTCTTGTATACAATGGTCACTCTCGGTCTCTAAAGGGAGATTTTTTGAAAGGGTCATGTAGCAGTTTCAGGCCCAACCGGAACCGGAAATAGTAAAGCATGAACAATGCGCACTCCGTGACTTAAACAATTGACTTGGACTCAGCACCCCTAAACTCGGGTAGGAGGAATAGTGACGAGGCACTTACATTTCTCAGAAGCGTTTCAGTTGGAAAGGAAGTTCGAAGTACACACACCGAAAAAGCAATACCCGTTTTCTTGGAAACAATGTTTTCCTATCACGCACATCACAAGTGACTGATAGGAGTCTAATACGGCCCGTAAATCTGGAGAATAGTTTATACTTGGCATCGTCTCCTCAGCAGATTGCCTATTTTCTGTATTTTGCGAACACTTCGACATCTTCTGGGAATAAACTGACTAATCCTTAAGGTAACAAACACGATTAGTCAAACACGATAACAATTACGTGATCGCGTGATTCCTAGGATACACAGGAATTACCCTGGAATGCTTAGTCACGGTTTCAAACGTGACAAGGAAGTCTCTCAAGCGTAAATTATGACGTTTTTTTTTTCGTTTGAGTGCCCCAGGAAAAGATGTGAATGGCACGGTTCCTTCTACATATGGCCTTATTTCTGGGTTAGCTTAAATGTATTTTTATTAAGCAATATAGACCCTATGCAACAGTTGGTCGCGTGATCAAATTTCTCTAAACATTTTTGGTAAGGCATTGTCATCTTTATACACATTTATAAGGTTACATCCTGGAGAAAATCTCTCCATTGAGTGCTAGTGGCACTGGCCTGAAAATTTGCGCTGTCAAAAATTTCAACACGTTCTTTCCATTTCTGAAAATTATCTCATTAGCTCTAGCTTTCAGTTTTTAAGCTCTCTATTTTTTGCTCAGATGACTAAGTAACATCCCGATGTTTCCATACTGACTATCCTGTTACATGAGCTGATACCTGATCAAGTTTACTTACTAGCTTTAAACGCTCATGACAGTACCCAATTTTGCTCATAAAATTAAGGGAAAACGATCGTTTACGTAATAATAGATCAGTTTATAGTAGAAAAAACTTTAAAGATGAACACATGTCGTGTTAGATTTTTAACCCGGGTAGAGTAGGTAGATAACACCCTAGCCTAAGATCAGGCTCTATTTTCGTTTCGCTTTGAAAATTACATTCCGGCGGGCAAGACGAAACGAAATTTCAGCGGTAGCCGTTAGAGAGAATGTATGAGAACCGCTCAAATTGGGCCTGATCTCAGGTTAATAACACCCCAGTGGGCTAGCGCCACCATTTTGACGCCTAGCCTGCGCGCGCATAGTTTGACCGGCAAAGACTGAGGAAGATTTTTTGACACTAGCTGGCACAGGCATACTTAAGCTTACACGTGGGAAATCTTTTTAGAAAGGCAAGAAGAAAGTTAAATATATACTTCTCACTATACGACCTTAAAACTAAAATCATAACAGACATAGCCTTTCGATTTTTCTCATTCCTCAGGTAAAATAGCCACCGGGGAATGCNGGGAGACTTTGATCTGACTGAAAAGTGTGACTGAAAAAGAGACCGGAAATGCTCAACCTGGCGCATGCGTAGACGTTTTGCCGCGGTGTTAGCTGGCACAGGCATACTTAAGCTTACACGTGGTAAATCTTTTTAGAAAGGCAAGAAGAAAGTTAAATATATACTTCTCACTATACGACCTTAAAACTAAAATCATAACAGACATAGCCTTTCGATTTTTCTCATTCCTCAGGTAAAATAGCCACCGGGGAATGCCTTCCGTGAACTTTGCCGAACTGGCCGAGGAAGCCAAAAAAGCCAGAAGTTTTAAGTTTGAAGGTGAAGAAAATACTTGCTCCTTTCTTAGTATTAATAGTTTGGTGTCTTTTACGAATTCTTTAAATTTTATGAAAGGTTGATTAAGAATGTCCAAATTATGCGTCCTTTTTATGTGTACCAAGCTTTCTGTCAGTCACCCAAACATGTTTTGACGGACGCGATAAAAAGCGCTCATTTTCCTTTTTAAGGTCATGTCAACAGAGAAAAAAAAATCTAATATTCTACAATCGTAAGTTGTAAAATCACTTAGACAAAAAAGTGTGTTGAAAGTGGATCTCTATTAGATTTTTCATTTCTCTGTTGACATAATGTTAAGTAACACTTTCTCAGTTGCCTTCAACGAACAAAATCTCTATCCTTTTAGGTCAATCAGTTGAAACTACATTAACTTAAGCTTAACCTTTGCCTCAAGATCTCGTTTTCGTCTTGGTGCCTTTTGTTTGACTGGGTAAACAGAAACATATCCTCCGTTTTTGACTTCGATTTGTTGAAGATCGATTATCGTCAGACAATGGGTAGAAAATAGGAAAACAAGATCTTGAAAGTCGACCAAACTCTTTTCATTGTTTTGAAAGTGGTTTCGGAGAGTCTTTATTTAAGCGCAAAAAGCTATGAAAGATTCAGATCAAAACCGCGGAAGATTTGTTTTAAGAGTAAACACCATTATTTATGACAGTATGATTTAGGAAAATCTAGTTTTTTTCTTTGTGTTTTTTACTCAGTGCAGTGATATGTTGTTGCTGTTGGGCGGTTTGCTTTTGTTTTTGTCTTCCTTTTTCTGGTGATATGAGTTGCTCCGTTTGGTAATCGTTGTAATGGCTGTATTAATTATCTTAGCTCGTGATTCACGGATTATCAGTAGAACGAATCAACTGGTATCTTGCCAACTGAAAAAGCGGCACAATTAGCGAAAGCTAACCTAAGCGTCCTAAATCAGGTCGAAATAATCCGCTTATACCAGCTTCTTAAAACGCGATAAAAGCGGCTAACCTTAAAGCATGTAAACCTGGGAGAGGTGCTTCTGCCAGTTCAATCTCGTTCTCTGTTTTTCCTATTTTTCGCTTAAAGCAGTGAAACATCTTTTCAGTTTCGAATAACAGCCATTAATGAGCCTTACCACCTAGAATCTATTGCCATTATAGTTGGTTTCAACACAGACAAATTTGCTCTGCGTGATAGCAATCCGAAATGCCAAAACTCTCTAGTGGTCTTCAGCTTTTACTGCTCACCAAAAATTAGACCCTTTTAGTTATCGCGAAAATTACCCGGGTCCCTAAGAATAACCTACGTCGAAAATAGCCTGTAGGTCGCGCCTCAATATCGATGGTCATTAATTACATGAATACACAGTTTTAAATACAGAAACTGTACTGATACAGCGTTGTCATTGATGTACAGGGGTAGGGAGACCTCGTCTTCGAGTAAAATTAGAGTCAGAAATCCGAGGGTCAATAGGATATTTCTTTAGGGTGAAGTCTTAAACTACAGGGCGATCTTCGACGCAGAGTCCGAATTATAAGCTAGATCTCCCAGGCATTTTTCTCTTTTTCGTAAAGAATCTGAAGCAATATCAACCTGTTATATCTAGTTTCTCACAATTTCGTTTTTCTTTCGTTTTTTTTTTCTACATTTTGAGCCTAAACTGAATTTTTCGGGAAAGTAGAGCGTTTTACCTTTAAATTTCTTTGTGGTTCTAATATGATGGAGATATTTGGAGATAAAATAGGAGTGGATGCATTGAATATTTAAATTACGCACATTTTGCTTTGTAACAAAATATTTATAGTTAGTAATATTTCATGAGTAGCCAATCATTGAGAAACTGCAGACCAAATGAAAAAAGTCTTGTAAATAATGCTGTACTCTCTTGATAGCTTAAAGTACCGCTTGAGGCGAAGATATATCAGCCAGAAAATGTTTTATGTTAGAGTAAAAGTAGATGACTTATCGTCCTTATCTGACCAACAGACCATAGATTTGGGAGTTAATTTCTCCGAGTAAACCCCGTCCTTCTAAAAGTCATTTGCATGCTGTAGGAAATATGATAACTCCATTTGTTGACAAAAAATTCCATGTTTAATTTAATCTTTATCCGAATATCACAGGTGATTCGCCGGGGTAGGGTGGTTGAGAAACTGGTTGACAGATGTTAATGGATAATGAGTGCCCCGCATGAGAAACCATGCATATCAAAGTTACAGCAATTACGTTTTTATCATGCCCTTGACAAGATGCTTTTTGAAACCACGTGTGCGTATACAGTAGATATTATACATGTATAAAAAACTGGCTTTTAGGTAGATGAAATTAAATCATCATAAATAATGCGCTTAAGAAATCAATCCGAAAAGTTACAGGTCTTAACAGTGACTGACGTGCGTGACCAGGATGTTGGACACGGAAACAAAAAGATTAGAGAAATAAATAACAGCAAAAATAGCGTGACAAATCTTTCACTGCGTGCCTCTCTCTCGATCTTATTGGAATCCAAGCGTTGATTTTGTCGTTTTTGTACTATAGTATGGCATGGACTTGCTTATCTGATTGGCTCATCGGCTCTCACATGACCACAAAAACCGCAACGAAATTAAAATCAGCTAGGTTTCTGTTTCATATTCTAAAGCGGTTAGGGTAATTTTTGTAATTAACATAGGACGATATTGAATATAAATTTTATTTAAGCATCCTGAACAGCGTTTTTTTATATCGATGGAAGCCTGCGATGTGTGACGAGGCGACGAAGCGAGAAAAGTCACCGACAAAAGGCTCAACAAACCGGTCTGCGGTTGAACAAGGAACTCGTGACTACCCCACTTTGTGTTGCTCATTGCATGCAATGTGTATCGTTTGGATCTGAGCAGCGTATGTTCCTTTGGTATTACATTTCATGTGTGCATTGGGCTCCATTGAGCTGGTAATAGTAAAATCTTCTGTTGATACTCGCCGATCGAACCTTCGATTTGCAGGAGTTGGACAACAACACACAACTTCCAGTTTGCATTATTTTGCGATATTTCCGTTTGTTTACACTGTTAGCAGTTAGTTACATGCGCGATCGGTCAAGGTTTTTTCACAACCCCGATGACATACTGACGGCTTGTCGAACCTCGGCGCTGCAGCGCGATGAATTTTGCAGAGTAATGAGTGGGAAATGCCGATTGACTTGACCGAAAAGTATGGCTAAACAATGACTTTATCGTTCGACCAGGTAGAACAGTGGCTTGACGATCATCCGCAGCAAGCTGAGGAATACTTTGTGCGTAAGGCTACCGCGCGAATGGTTCAACTGTGGAATGAGGCAAGAAGCGACTGCTCTGACGTTTTCTGCTCGGATGCAATCGAGAATTGCAGTGCTCGGAGAGGAAAGAATTTTCGCTTCAACGACACAGTGGACATAATCAATTCGAACGAGGAAGAGGAAGCTGTAAACGAAGCGGGAGATACAAAATCTTTTAGTAACCCAACATCACCTATCACTCGGAGGTATTCCGAACCGCAGCGCCAAGGGAATCAAAAACGACACTGGATTCTAGGTTACGGAGGAACACACGGATTAAGCGGTAAATCAGTATCATCAAGTTTTGTCGACTCTCTGGACTTAAGTACTTATGAAATCCGAGAGGAAAGAACGAGACGAGTGAGGAGTCCCCCTTCACGTCAGCTCCGCAAAACCAAATCGTTGCCGAATTGTGGACAACAGCATGTTCTGGGGGCATTAATTGAGTCCAAAATTCGCCTGCCCTCCTCTGTGGGCCTAAATGCGGAATCAAAACTGGATTTAAAAAACAGCAATGAAAAGCAGTTTTTCTTCGAGATAGTGCGGGACATAGCCAATGATTTAGACCTGACAACACTGAGTTATAAAATTCTAGTCAATGTTGGGATTCTGACGAATGCTGATCGCTGCTCATTGTTTCTTGTGGAGGGGCCGAAAGGTAAACAGTCACTCGTTTCAAAGGTTTTCGATGTGCAAGTTGGATCCACGAGTTCAACAGCGAAAGACTTTATTAACCAGCAGAGAGAAATTACTGTTCCGTGGGGAAAGGGTCTTGTTGGTTATGCTGCAGAGACCGGAGAAACAGTTAACATCCCCGATGCCTATGCGGTTTGTAACGTTTTAGTATAAATAAATCATTAGGGTTTTTAGGCGTATGTAAACCTTCATACGCTCTCTTAAGTCGCCGGCGCCTTGGTTTAACGTCCCTTGCAAAAGGGGCTCTCTTGCACATTGCATATAGAAAGGCGACACCATAATTATCGGACCGTGATCGTTCGAATTTTGATGAGTCGTTCGATTCTGATAGCGCGCGCTGTTAATTTGAGCGCTTTGGATTCAAGCGATCAGCTTTGTACTTTTAGCAGATCACAACATTCTATTCCGTTTCCAGTTAGTTTGATGGCTTCAAATCGTGTAAGGTAGCGTGGGTTGCAAAAACCACTGTTCTGTTTGCAGAAATTAAATTGGGTCACATACCCGGATCAAACCAAACTTAAACGGGATGGCTATTTTTGTTCGTATTATTAATTCACATCCATTTTATTTGTATTTTACCAACCGAAGCGCATTTTAAAGAAACGTAAACGAGATCTTAACTGTTATCTGGTATCGAAAATTTCCTGCCTCTAGATAAAATTTTGTAGAAATTTTTACCTTTAATTGTATTTACGAAAAGTAAGAAATTGGTCAAAGTTATAATGTGGCTTTAATTCGAAACGACACGGCTAAAGGCAAGCTCGCAGCTGAAGTATCATTATGAATTCACGGCTTTAAATTTGCATTTTTAGCATTTGTGTTCATAATCTTGGAGAAAATCATCTTTTTAATATCGGCACGAACACTTTAAAAATCTTTTTGGTTATCAGATCGCCTTTAAATGCGATAAAATGTTATCACGACGTCTTCTCTCGTCTCAGTCTGGCTACTGCTCGAGTGTGTGGGTGGCTTATTAAGCTATAAATCCGAAATTATACACAGCCGAGTTAACTTGACGTACCAAATTCGTGTTTGTCGCGCTTCAACGACTTTGATTAATGTGTCTCTTGCTGTGACCTATTTTTTGTCCATTCCTTTTAACCTTCATCGACCTGTTCCGGCCCTTCAAAAAGCCGCGAAAATGTTAGCTTTCTCCTGCGATGCATTCGTAAAATCGCAATGTTTAAACTCTCGACGCTTATATGTTTATTGTGGCTTACAAATCATGGCGTATATTTTATTTTTTGTCGTTTTAAAATTATTGCGAACCGGGAAGATTGGGAAAGCGTGAATTTGTTGTTGAATCCTGCTACTGTACGACCAACATTGGCGTGTATATTTCAGCGGTATTTTGACGGATTTCCTTTTTAAACTCTTGTTTTTAATCTGATTGTCACCCAAGTACTTTGTTGACAAGCGAGATATAGCTAGAGCTGCTTATTTTGTTTGACATTTTTAGTGCAAGATGCACAATTACTCTGTTTGCTGTGTATTTGCAGGAACTTTCAAAATTATCCTTTTTTAGCAGATTAAAAATATTTTTTGACTGTTACGAGCTTAGTTCAAAATTTGAAGGTCATTCTTCAAATTAAAGTCTCTATTATTATTGGCACTTTTTAATGGATATTTTGTTACCTTAAAAATATATGCATGGTGAAAATTCACATTGACAGCAGTCTCTCTTGTACCTTTTTAAACGTTACTGACACCAAAAACTGCTCTGTACATAGATGCATTATCGTAGGGGGTGTTTACATGGTCATTTACAAGGGCACACCCTCTCATGACAATAATGTCTTTGATATGTGCATTTTGTTTTAAAACCCTGGTTATTGGTCTGGATGAGGTTTGAACCTATGACCTCCCGCTTGGCAGACTGGTGCACTCCCAACTGAGCTAACTTGGCAGCAGTTAATAAGTGATCAATAAATAAATACATAAATAATAATAATAATAATGTATTATTATTATTATTATTATTATTATTATTATTATATATTCCTTTTGATAAGTCCAACATTAAAATTTAATGTTGGACTTATCAAAAGGAATATATATATTTAATATGTTAACTCGTTGATTTGTTCAACCAAAAAAATGGAAGGAAGCAAGAAAAAAAGTTGGGAACTGGCTGGGATGTGGTGGGCTATAAACATGTTCTGTCATACTTAAAGATTTTTGTCAGATGCATTTGTCAATAGAAGTTGGATTGGACATGCAACACCCGTAACTCTTCACACTCATCAGACTTTGTTGAAACACTTGTTATGTTGTGTCCTTCTCAATGTTGATACACATATTATCCATTTGCAAAAATGCAAATCTCAGCATTGGGGTAGGAGAGGTCTGAAGGAGAATGCAGGGGGAAAAATTGGATAAGTTGACGTGGTATTAAAAAGATGTAATGTCTTAATTGTAGGGCTATCTCAAACCTATTGTTAATATATGTTACTAATAGGGCGGGGGTTGATGTACTTTTTTTTCTTATCTGTACCTAAGGAAATGCACAAGTCATTCTGTAAATCCTAAAAATCTGGATTAAATGAGCAGTAGTTTCTGCATTTTTGGACTCTATAAGTAATGGAACTTCGAAATCTATTTTTGGATTCAGAATCCAAATTTAGATTTTCCTAAAAAAGCCCAAGCTAACTCTAAGATTCTGTCTGTTATTTTGTTCATTAATGTAGGACCCTCGCTTCAACAAAGAGGTTGATCTTCAGACTGGCTATCATACAACGAGCTTATTATGCAAACCAGTGAAGAACAACGAAGGAGAGGTGAGAACAAGCGGAGTATGTCAGTTTATTCTTGGGGAGTTTTAAAAAAATTCAGTCTTCTAGCGCTGTGCCAGAACATACTTTTGTCACATGAATCATGTGACGAAAGTTATCACTTGAGAGAAACATGTCAGTGGCTAATGTAGCAGACCTTCACTCTGTCTTGTAGCTTGGAAAATCAACTGGGTTGAATTCTAAAAGATCTTTTGAAGACAGTCGAGTCACAAACAGTTATTGTCATTCATTTGTAGCCCACTTATATAGCTTCAAGGATGTTTCAACTATCTTGGATACAAGATCAGCGATAAATATGAAATTTTATAATACCATACCATATTTAGAGGCCCTGGTAGGGTAAAATTCCAAAAAGCGACATGACCTTGAAACAGTGAGAGAAGACTAAATGGCGACATACGACAAATACAGATCAGGGACATATGTGCCTCAGCTCCGCCTCTATATAAGTTCTAAAAACCCATACCATAAATCCCTCTCCCTCCCCTCCCTAAGTGCTAAACAGAGAGTAGGGGCATATTTAGTCTCACTTGGTTTAGCTGTGAGACTCTAAAAATGCAACCATTTCTTTCTTTTTTCGTGTTTGTGTGGTCACCAAATGGGCGTCATGGTCCCAGGCGTTCCCAGCAGAGTCCGTGGAACCTGGGGATAAATGTGGCAGCGTGAAAAGAGCCATGCATGGAAAGCTTAGCAAATATTAAAGCGAAAGATGTCGAGCTTTTCAGGAATGGGTCGGTTCACGATTTTGGCAATGATTGAAATGATGCGCCATGTTCATCACACTTTTTGATGTAATTTCTCTCAAATTGAGGCCCTAAATGATTTTCGTGTATTTACACAGGTGTAGTAATGTCTTACAAATCATTGAATATGATATAAAAAGTAAATATCCTAAAGAATACTTGACTGTCAATAAAGTAAGGAGTCTCATGGTAAACAAACTGGGATGCAAGAAATACTCTGGGGCAAAACATCATCATCATCATCATCATCAATTGACTGAAGAGCAGTCGACTGTAAGTCATCTCCAACTGGCTTGGTCTAGGGTAGTGTAGTACATGTTGTCAGCCTCTGAGAAATGCTTGTTGGGGTCGATCCATTCCTGTATTGTAATTGGTTGGAAAAGGACTTCTGCGGTCTCCCTCTGAGTCCTCTTCTATGGAAGGGCTCATACAACATAAGGAAATTCCATTTTCAATCATGTGGGCTCTTTTTTTTGTCTTGTCACATTATGCTTCTCGCATCCCAGCGTGGTGTTTTTGTATCACATGACTTACCAGCTACAAATAAAAGGGCCCTTTGGAGGACTTATTAGATAGGGGGCGGGGAGGGGGTGGGGTCAATACTTATTAGATGATTTGCTGTAACTTTTTAGCTACAAGAGGTCTTATCAGACAGGGACCGGGGAGGGGGGTTGTGGTCAGGGTTTTGTAGAGGATTTGCTGTAAGGCTCGTAACTTTGACATTTTGAATACGCAGGTTGTTGGGGTTGCCCAGATAATAAATAAGATGCCTGGTCCAGTACCATTCACTGAAGACGATGAGGAGGTAATCTCAGCTTAAGCTTGATTACATGAGAAATTGTTTGAATTATTTCATGGCCAACTCGGATGACCTGGCGATCACTCGTATTGATCCATGTGAACAGTTAAATGTGGCTGAACGTAATTTAGGCTAAGTTACACACTAATCAAACGCTGGGCAGCAGTTTTCCCCAGGGTTGGTGTGCGGGGTGACCGGGTGTTGTATTCATTGCAGTTGCATGTTTACAGCCGAGTCCGCCCATCCCTCTTGGCATGTCAATTACATGGTAAGTAATTAGTTTTCACTGTTTTTTCAGTGTGACGGCGCCCAGTGGTTGCCGCTGGTTGGTTGCCATGGATATGCTATGCATTCGGCTCAGTTTGTCTAGTGGCTCCACCTTCGTTTGTGAGGCACCATTCCCTGAGCATGTAATAGTTATGAATATAACTGTTAATTTTCAAATGGTTTCCCTCCTTAGGTTTGTGAAATGTACCTGACATTCTGTGGGATAGGTATTACCAATGCCAAACTATTTGAACTCTCAGCAATTGAATTTAATAGGAACAGAGTAAGTACTTATAATGTAACAAAACTTTTCTTCACCCTTTTTACTCCTCAAAGTGGCCAAGGGAAAAATCCTTGTAATTCCTAAAAAATAAACACTACTGAGGGTGCAAAATTCTACGAAAGAGGTTTCATTTGATTTCATCCACAGTTTTTAAAGGTACAGTATAAAAATTTTTCCTACTGACACTTTCTCCAGTGGGTGAAAGGGCGTGGGAGGGAAGGATGTGGAGTTTAGAACTTTTCAGGTCTTGACAGCCTATTTTTCTGGATTAATGTTTCCAAACTTACCCCTGATATTACTGTTTAAGAAGTTGTTTTCTTTGAAACAGGCATTGCTGGAGCTTGTCCATGACATCTTTGAAGAGCAGACTTCACTTGATAAAGTGGTGCATAAGATCATGAGAAGAGCTTTATCAATGCTGAAGTGTGAGAGGTGTTCTGTTCTCCTGTTAATGCATCCAGTTCTTGGCAACAGTTTAGCAGAAGAAACAGCTCAAGTAAGACTCTTTTCCTTCCGCTACAGTACACCAAACCAAGTTCCACTGTTCATTTTTTAATTAGATGCTCAATTTGACATCTTTTACAGTCCTGTCAAAATCTTTGTGTAGCAAACTGCCGTTTAGCACTTGCCAGTAGTCAAGTCAGCTCTTGCCTAGAATCCTTGTCTCTTAGAGGACTCTTAGTGAAGTTCAGTTTGGAGTAAACTACTCAAAAAATTGACTGAGTTGTGCTAATATAATTTTTATTGTTCATAGGACTTAAGAATAACAAAAGTGTTCAACCTTCGTGTTTCAGGAAGTAGGAATACGAATAGTACAATGTAAGTCTTGTTGATTGTTTTGTAGACTGAAATAATTGCTGGGTTTCCTAACAAGTCTGGATCATTCCTAAAGTAAATTATGGAGACAGGAAGTGTAGTGCTTAAGCCTCATTTAGACAGGGGTGTGTGTAATTATTAAATTTGTTTGAAACCTGTGGTATTAATAATCTTTAAATTTTTACTAATTAATAAGAGGGTGGGTTTTTTTCGGTTTCCCTTTGTACTGAGGAAGGGTGGGGTAGGCGAGTCCACTCCCTAGTGGGTCCCCTGTTGACATTATGAACAAACATTTCCTAAGTTTTGGTTTAGTGGGACTAAACTGGGTTAACCAAGGTGTAATTTAGCTATAAACCTGCCTTATCTGCTAGTGTTTGGATAGTCACATAATTTTGTAAAACATCTTGAGACTCTCCTCTTTTTCTTTCAGTTACAGTGAGGGGAGAGATGACGGCTCTTTCTGTACAAGGGTAGCAAAGCTAGTTGCTTCAAGTGGCAAGGTAAGGAGACATTTTTGCACAGGGCCTAATGGCTGGATAAATGAGCAGGGAAAGTATTTTATCGTAGATGGACAGGGGTGTAGCCAGCCCATAGATCTGTAGGCCCGGGCCTACAAATTTTTGGTTTGATCACTCGACACTTGTAATAAATCATGCGTTGTTTGGGTGAGCTAAAAAGCTTTAGAACTCAAGTGTTAGTGAGGTCAGTGTGTATTGGTAATGGGTGCAGTTTTCAGGATGTGTGGAAATGAAAGTCAGCCAGGCATACAATAGTAACGTTGAAAAGCTGGCTACACCCCTGATGGAAAACCTGAAAGATAATAAGGCATGTTTCTTGGGAAGAAACACTCTGAAAAAATCAGATCTTCAGAAACTTTCGAGAAATTGGCCGGAGAAACTTAAATTGTGCACTTGTTTATTTGTAAATCTCAGCTATGTTGTTGTTTGCCATAAATTTCTATATCCCTCATTTTTTTTGTAGACACTCAATGTTCCTGATGCCGCGCTTGATCCAAGGTTAAAAGGAATTGTAAGTTATCGTCTCTTTCTTGTCTACGTGTTATGATGCAACCTTTTGCCCCATGTAAGGGGATCTAAGGCAGTCTTGGATTCTGGATTCCACGCAATGGATTCTGGATTCCAGGTAATGGATTCCAGTCTTTGTCAGTGAATCCAATAAATCCAGAATACAGCACAAGGAATCCAGAATCCCACTAACAATTATTGTTAGTGGGATTCTGGATTCCAGAACCCAGGATTCCGGATGCCACATGCCAAATTTTCCTGTATTCCGGATTCCACAGGCAAATATTTCTCATATTCCGGAATCCAGATTCCCTTTGGGGCGATACATTTACTGCCTTAGTTTATTGTTGTAAATGCAATTGAGTAACAACCTGTTAGTCTTTTTGGTGAATCAGTCTTATCCATGGCCTGTTTTGCAGCTTGCAATAAGTGCTGACAATGGAGTTGATGCCCATCGGCCGATTTTGTGTATGCCAATTAGGAACAACAAGTTTGAAATTATCGGTGAGTAGAGTACTTTCATTTTTTTTTCCACAAGTTGCATGTTCTTAGTAAATGTTAAAGTAAATAACGTATATAATAATTCATCTTTAGGAATGTGAGGATAGTAGACTGCAAGGCTTAAAATGCCGTAAATTGTGTGAGTAAAACGCACCAGAGATTCTGATTCCCAAGTCTTAACGCCAGGAATCTCTTTACTTAACCTAGCAGTGGGTTGGGAAGAGGGCATTGCTGAAAACTCTTTGATAAATAAGATAACCTTACTTATTAAACTGTTGATTTAATAAATAAATATTTATTTAGTGTGTAATTTACATTTCGTTATGTTAAACTGTTTCAGGAGTTGCTCAGCTGATTAGTAAATTAAACAACAAACCGTTTGATGAGAGTGACGAGACATTGTTTGAGGTACAGCTTACATATGTATGGTACAATGTAGATCCAAACATGTCAAACCCTTTCAGCATAGCATGTTAACACAGTATGACAGAGAGATGCAACAATCTTCGACGTTTTTAATTCGTTCACAAGACGACAAAAAAAATTGGAGAGGTGTGGAAGGAGAGAGAAAGGAAAAAAAATCTTCCATCCCTAACGTCCCAATTTATGTCCAGTTTTTGGCAAGCAGTGACAATGCGAAAGTGTTGTGAAGTAACTGAGGTTTAAGAAAAAGAAAGTTATTATTCCTCAAGAACTTGACAACTTTGCCTGGCGCTTCATGCTATTACTAGTTAAATTGTTCGTAAAAAAACTTTCCAACTTATCTCTGTAGGCATTTGCCATTTTTTGCGGCCTTGGAATTCACAACACCATGATCTACGATCAGATGGCGAAAGCAAAAGCCAAGCAACAAGTAGCAATAGAGGTGAGAAAAGTGATCGCGCCAGGGCTTCTGCTGTTAGAGTTAAGGTTAACATATTTACTGTTTAGGCGTTGCTGCCTACTCGTACTATCTCATTGACAATTCCCCGACATGTCTAATTATTATGAAGATACACGCAACATTTTACAGATATGATTTGGCATGTTTGTCATTTAGATTCATGTTTACATAGACTGGCAAAAACCTGGGACAGGCTTTATAGCAAGCGTTTTCCAGTGCAAAATTGAGAGTGGGGACGCCTTCAACCCCCCCCCCCCCCCCCGCCCCCCCCCACCCCAAAAAACGAGGGCCAAAAAACCCTCCCTCCCCGCCCCCGATTTTTTGCTACCCCCCTAAATATAAACCTAGAAACCAAACTGCAACGCCTCTGTTGTTTACTTAAAAGATTTTCCAAATTGCTTAACGCAAAATTCCCCGAAGAATTTTAAATTGAATGCGTTTTTAAAAATTTTCCTATTTATTTTCCTTGGCTGGCAAGAGCGCGCTTTAGGGTAGAATGGTTTTGGAATTTTTTTATTTTGATTTTGGTTTTAATAGAGAGGGAAAAACCCGTGGGAGGCTTTTTAGCACACGTTTTCCCCTGCAAAAATGGGGGGGGGGGCGCCCTCAAACCCCCCCCCCCCCCGCCCTGCTCCGCCTCATCCGAAAAAACGAGGGCCAAAAAACCCTGCCTCCCCGCTCCCGATTTTTTGCTACCGTCCTAAATATAGACGTAGAAACCAAACTGCAACGCTTCTGTTGTTTACTTAAAAGCTGTTCCAAATTGCTTAACGCAAAACTCTCCGAAGAGTTCTAAATTGAACGCTTTGTTATATATTTTCCTAACTATTTGCCTTGTGTTTTTAAGGTATTGTCATACCATGCGGCTGCGAAGAGAGGCGAAATTGACAGACTCAAGGTAAGTTTGGCGATCAGGAAAGGAGAGCATGTTCTTTCTCTCCGCCTAGAACCAAAATATGTCGAACTTTTTGCATCTCATAACCCTTTTTAATCTGCAATACACTGATGATGGTGTTTTTTTTTAAATTTTTTTTTCTAAAATACCTAAAAGCAACTTAGTAACACCGTGCCAAAGTGCTGCCTGGTAGCTTTCGTCCAAGAGCCTGACTTTATGAGCGATGTTTTGGTGATTTCGAGAACTTTTAAAAACCAAACCGATAACAGAATTGAATGAAATTTTAAAATAACGATCTGGAGTTGTAGGACAGTATAGGTGGACATTCAAGATTAGATGGCAGGGGTAAATGAATAGATACGCTTGTTTTATTGTAAGCTGTATAGTCATGCTTGCAGGGGCGGTGTTAATCCTCAAATTATCTAAGTATCAAGGGGCACCCAACGTCAATTTTCGGAAAATATTTGTTCGGAAGACGATTTGAGATCTAGAATTTTCGGAACATTTGTTGTAAAATTGCTTGCTTGCCTGCCTCTCCTAGGATTTTGGAATATCTAAAAAATGGTATAATTGCCCATTTTATACGGATTTTTATCCTAAAAAGGTCACCTAGCATTTTCGGGAGCCTTTTTTCTGGCTGAAATTTTCGAAAAGATAAGTTTTGATCTCTGTAATTTTCGGATCACTGGACTTTCAGCTAGGAAATCCGAACAGATGAAAAGTTTTTAGGGGATAAAAATGTGCCTATATCTACTAAAATACGTTTAACAATGCTATGTTTAAGTGGTCTTGAACTATATTCTCGTTGGGTGCCCCTGACGTATACATGGTAACTGATGAGTTACCTGCTGATTTCCTTTGCAGAATACTCCAGTCCCCATGGCTTCAGAACTCAAACTTGACAGTTTCCAGTTTAATGACTTTTCCCTGGGACCTAACGAGATGCTGCAAGCTTCACTTAGGATGTTTATCGATTGTGGATTCATCGATGAATTTCACATAGACTACGAGGTAAACACACGACCGATCAATTTAGGTTTTTGGGAAACTGCCCACCCACCCTTCCCTTAAGCCAACTTTAACACTAACTTCTCACTTAGGGCAAAACGTTGACTTAGGGGAGGGGTCGGTGGGCAGTTTCCCAGAAACCTAAATCAATCCCACACGACAACGGACTTTTTCGTTTCTTCCTTAACTTGGGTGCGGTCCCCATAGACCTATTTGGCTAACTCAATGCTGTACCCCATTCAAATCTCCCGGAGTTAAGATTCTTTGTGTATTGTATTTGCATTATACGTGGCATTCACATTTAAATGATACGGAAATTCCTGAAACAAAACGTTGTATTCCCAAAGGGTTTGATTTGGGTACAACGTTGAGTTAGCCGAATAGGTCTATGAATTCAACTTCAGGAAAATTCAGCTACATTGAATTTTAATCGAGTTAGAATAATCGTAACAAAGTTTGAAAAACGCGAATTGATTTTATTTGTGACGTTTTCGCTGCCCCATGTCGAGTTCTTGTGTTCGATGCTTAAAAACTGAAATGGACTCATGTAAACATACGAGGCGAAATTTAACGCAAAACCCTTCTTCATTTTTCTTATTTTAGGTTCTTTGTAGATGGCTGTTAACTGTACGCAAAAATTATAGAAATGTTATCTATCACAACTGGAGACACGCCTTCAATGTGGCACAGTCAATGTTTTGCATGCTCAAGGTATGTGGTTAACCCTTTAAGAGTGACGAAAATCAATTTTCTCCCAACGATGTCAATACATAATCAAGAGAAAATGTTGTGAGAATATATAAAGTAATCGCTTCATGGGAAACGTTTTGTTTTTCAAACAAATTCTCCCAACTAATTCATTAAGGAAATGTATGGAGATCAGTCTTGAGAATTTGTATTTGGATATTGGGGCTTTAAGAGTTAATAGAATGGGCCACTTCCGAGTTCCAAAACCCTCACTTTCAAAATTAGGCCAAGTGAACAACCTTTCTTGTGAAAATAAGTTTTATTGGCATGAGAATTACAAATCATTTCCATATCAAAGGCTGAGCACTTAACGTCGTTTTGATACAGAGGCCCGGGGGAACTCGGAAATAGCCTATTAGCGAAAACTGTGGCATTAAACAACTTGTAATGGCTCTCAAAAAATACTGTAAGGCAGGGTTTAAACAAGAGGAGAGTTTTCCGGATTCTTAAACATTTCTGGAGTTTTTTTTTGCATTCAGGGTACTCGGATATGAAGGCGTTAAAAAACATTTGAATTTTCGTTTCGGATTAACGCACCTGCGTACAGATGGCCAAACGAATCCGACACCAAAATGTTTCGGATTAGTTACAGATGTGGAAATATCTTCTGTAATGAAAACCTAGCTTAAATCTTACCTGGGTCTAACTTTTCCAATCTCCTCTGTAAAACAATAAACGCACGGAGGTTGTGCTGTGGATGGTACAAGGTCAGAGATTAGAAGCACACGAGCCATAAGGCCCATATTGTAGGATGAGTGTTTTCCCGTTTTCTGGAGAATGAAGCAGCAAATAGTAGTCGTATTGCTACTACCCCTGGATAAGATAACCGTTCAACCACTCGTCGTAAAACTGGCAATAAAAGAGTAGGGTCTAGAGCGAAATTGTGAGCAACACCTCGTTTGAGTCAATGTTAAACTGTGGCGTTTGGCTGTAAATGCTCCGATTATGCAAATTTTTGTTGCTTAAGAACTTGACGCATGGCACGTGCAGCTCGTGCGGAAATAAAAATAAAGCACGCACGTGCAGCTCGTGTGCCTCGACAAGGTAAAAAACTGGGGGTGAATAGTACTTTTGGAGACTATTGCCACGTATCCGGTGAATCCGGCGTACGAATCCGCAACTTTTTGAATCCGCTTTCCAGAGTGGAAATTTTTGAATACGCTATTAATCCGCAATCGTGTAGACGCTAAATTCGGATATTTTTTTATCCGGTGACGTAACAAGATCAAGCCCAGTTCTTCATCGTGAAAGGCAGAGCAAGATACAAATTTCGCGTGCTTTACGACGCATTCTGTGTTGTCAATATTCCCAGAAGAGTCCTGGGTACTAGAGTGGATCCGGATACGTGTGGACGGGCAAATTCGATTTGAATGCGGATACGTGTAAACGAAAAATTTTTGAATCCGGAAAGAAAAAGTTGCGGATTCAAAAATACTTGAATACGAGTGGACGGGGCCTATACCTGATAATGTCCACCCGAAAATTGAAAGATCATAACGCAAGGGAGGGCATATGTGAGTAGTTATTTTGTGTAATAAGAACCGTGAAAGCATTACATCTTTTCAGAAGCTGTTGGCCATCATCTGGGGGCCATATTTGGTCATTGGCTGCCATTAGAAACGAATGAAATTCTATGCCTTGACAATGTAGCTTCCATGATGAGAAATTAAAAGAAATCTGTTCCAAGATGCTTATTTATATGGATTGTTAATATGGTTGCGATCATTGCTTTGATAGTGATTATAACAAGTTGGTGGGAAACGTTTTACTTTTTCACAGACTGGAGGCATGAACAAGTATATGAGCAACCTTGAATGTCTTGGTTTGATTGTCGGCTGTTTGTGTCATGACTTGGATCATAGAGGAACAAACAATGCTTTTCAGACCAAGTATGTCATCATTTCAGTAAAGTCAAGTATGTCATCATTTCAGTAAAGCCATTCTAAAAAAATTGTTTGACACGCTTTTTCTTGTTGTCAACAGGACAGACTCGCCTTTAGCCAAACTGTACACGACCTCCACTTTAGAGCATCATCACTTTAATCATGCTGTAATTATCCTCAGCACAGAGGTGAGCGACTTGACATACAACTAGTGAAGCAGTTAAATCTTAGGAATCACACTTAAGATGACGCAATGAACCAGTCATACCTCACATCAAAATAAGGGAGTTCATTTTTAACGTGATGTCACACTAACCATGAAATTTTCTTTAAAAGGGCCACAACATTTTCCAGAAACTAAATGCTGATGAGTACAGACAAGTTATTAGTTACATAAAGCATTCTATCCTATCAACGGATTTAGCCGTGAATTTTAGGTAAGTTCTTAACTTCTGTGGTCGTTGCTCGTTTATTTCGTTTTTGTGTCGTTTAAAGAGCGAGGACAGTTTCAGTTAGGGTTTATTGTTTTTTAAACTGAAGACTAAGTGTCGTTTAATTGAACTTTAAGTGAAACGTTCGTTTTTTTTTTAAATTTTAGGCAACGTTCAATGTTCTTTCCACTTGTTGAAAAGGGCGGCTTGGACACCTCAATCCCGGATCATAGAGACATGCTCAAGTAAGTTTCAAGTCGCCCGTAACATCATTTCTCGCATGTTAACCGGGCTTTAGGCGAATGTGAGGCTGTTCCAACTTGGTGCCCGAGAACTGGTGCTTGGGTCACCAGCACAAAATAGTGGTGTGTTCACACTTCGTACCCGATATGTAACTGTCTGTGTACGTTTTTAGGGAGTTGAAGCAGCAACGTTTTTGAGCGACGTACGTCAACCGGAAGTGGACATTTTGCAATCTTTAGCCGTGATTTTGAAAAAAACAATTGGACAAATCGTCTCTATAAGAGTACAGACACTTAGCAATACAAATTTAATAGCGTCAAGGCATATTAAAAGTGAAAAAAAGCTCACTTCCGATTGAGGTTCGTCGCTCAAAAAGCTGAAAAGCTGAAAAGCTGCCTATTAATTCCCTTTACGATCCTATCAGACGCCATTTTGAAACTCTTTTGAGTTTAACCGGAAGTAAAAAGCAGCTGATGTCCCCGGAATTAACAGGCAACGTGTGCATACAAGGACCCGGTGTTAGCTTAAGGGTCTCGACTTTGTACTCGGACATTTGTTCACATTAGTGCCTAGCGAGTACCGTACTCGGGCACCGTGGCCGGGCGCCCACTTTGAACGCTGCCTATGCCACCAAGTTTAGTTCACATCTTGGTCGTGCGGAGACGGTAAGGAAATGTGCCAAAAGGCGTGTTTATTTAAAACTATTGTTTTTGTTTTTTATGTTTCTCTCAATGTGGTGGCAGTTGGCACTTTTTGAATTTTGATAAATTTCGTGACGCAGTTCCTTTAAGCTGCCTAATTACACATTCTATACTGTTGCCTAGAGCTATGATGATGACTGCTTGTGATCTCAATGGAACTACAAAACCCTGGGAAATTCAGAAAGAGGTTTGTCAAGCTTCTTTACTTCCTGGATCTGTCAAATAGTATACTGTTTTCACTGAAATTTCCGCTACAAAATGGTCATTTTTCCCCTTCAAACGATCACTGTTCCATCCCATTCCACCCTCTATGCTCATAACGGGCACATCAACAGAAGGTGCTCTGCCTGTGGGCACATCAACGCAATGCTATCTTGATAACCTCATGGTTCATTGCTTGATGGTCTCTCATTATCGCTCTAAAATGCACAGGAAGGTTACGTTGTCTCTCTGGTTAACTTTCAGGTTGTCCATTTAGTGACTAGTGAGTTCTTCCAGCAAGGAGATCTTGAGCGAACCACCCTCAAGGTGGAGCCATCTGTAAGTACAGAAGGGGAGGAAGATAGGGGAGACTAGAAATGGTGACATTAGGGTGGGCATAGGGCTGAGACAACGAACTGGGCAGGGGTGCGGAAAAAAACGTGTGTCCCCGTTTATTTGCCCTGTAACCTTACACAACTCCCATTTTAATTTAGCGCTTGTGATAACAATACTCGCGATTTTTCCATGCAGTTGTACGTTTAAAAGAAATAAAGGGAGATGTAAAGAATCAACCATAAGAGGACACAGAAAAAAAACTGAGCCCCAGATGGGATTCGAACCCACGACCCTCCGTGTTCTAGACCGGATGCTCTAACCTCTGAGCTACTGAGGACTCGTTGGCGAGCAAGGGTCAATTTTATTTATTTATTTAATTTACGTTTGACTCAAAATGTTACTTCAAAATTTATTACAATTTTTTTTGTAGGCTCTCATGGATAGACAAAAGATTGATGAACTACCTGCGCTTCAAGTACAATTCTTTGAAACAACAGGAATTCCTGTCTTTAAGGTAGATTAACAATTCCAAATTTCATGTTCTAAAGTAGAGTTTTTTACTCACGTACCCAGTAGTTTGCTACACAGCCGTCACAATTACGGCTGTGTAGCAGACTACGTGGCCTACAGCTATGCAAATTTATTGGAGCAAAAGAAAGTTTCTGCAAGCAATGCGTAAAGTGCAGTTACTTTTTCAACTCAAAACTACTCAATCGCCGGATAGTAGAGACCTTTAGATTCAAAGACCAGGGCGACGGCTACGAGTACGAGATTTTCTCAATACTAAGTAGTGCGCACGCGTGAACCAGCGTCATTTTGGCGAGAAAACCCGATAGTCGTCATCATTCTGCTACGAGTTTTAGCGAGAGTTTCGTGGCGGTGGAAAAAAGTTATAACATGTTAGAGGTTTTATCACTTTGGGATCGAGACAGGGTTAAACTTCTTTCAATAAAGATAACTTTTCTAATTCTTTTTGATGAAAAAGTACAATGAAGCTTACCGGGGGGTCTAGTTTTTAAGAAGACGCGAAAAAAACGATAAGTCAAATCTCGTACTCTTAGCCGTTTTCGCTCTCGAACTAAGGGTCTCTGGTACTTTCCGTCCCGACAACAAGAGACGAACGCCTAATATTTGATTCTTTTGTCAGGCTTTGACTCAATTTAACTCCAAGATAAAGCCTCTTTACGTTGGAGCAGAGCGCAACAAAAACCGCTGGTGTGAGCTAGAAAAGGAAAGACAGGCGCGGCAACGAGAAGAAGATAACGTCAAACAACAGATTGTCACGTGACATTACGAGTACCCGTGCCATGTTCCATCACTCTCGTGAGCGCGAACAGTGGATACCTACAATCGAACCTTTCCGGACAGCGGTCGGAACCATTCGTGAGATGCCTGTAGAAAGTTCATCTTAGTTCTCAAGAGCTTTGCTGCTTCAGTTGCTGCAGGGAATCAACCACTTAGAACTGGAAAGCTTCATCTAGTCGCACGTGTTTCGTTTTGAACATGTTAGTGATCGCTATATGCTCTGTGGTAAGAAAAAAAAGACCTTAAAAAAGGTTCGTTGCCATTTAGCACGTGATCACTTGAAAATTATGTGGGACGCGTACCATTTTGGTAGGTCTAACGGCTCAGATTGAAAGCTCGCGGCATACTGTTACCGTCTTGCTTTGCTGGGTTTAAAAATGCACAAGTAGGTTGTTCTCACTTGGTGCTCGAGTACTAGTGCATGGGTAAACGCACAAAATGGTGTTGTGTTTACTCGTTAGGTACTCATGTAACTATGTACATATTTGCTCCATTTCAACATGTCAGACGCCAGTGAAGCGTGAGCGTATGAGGGATTTATGGCCCGGGTATGCAAAGCAGTTGATTGCTTCGGGCTAACAAAAACGTGTCTACTTTAGGGCCCGAATTCTGGAGTACGTGCTTAAGAAAGGTTGTGTTCACATTAGTGCCTAGCGAATACCTTACTCGGGCGCTGTCTCCGGGCACCAAGTGTAAACGCTGCCTTTTACAATCAGCTCCCTGCTACATCAGGAGGGAGGTTTTAATAATTATAGTTATTTCCGGAGGTGTTTCCCTAGCGACAGAACCTGAAAAAGTTCACTTAACGTTTCTCGAGTTGCATTCTGTGTTTTTTTAAACCCTTATCCGTGGGCAAGACAATCGCACAAAGTACCTCTTAACTAAACTAAAACTATTTTGGTATTGTGGCGATTAATGCTTCTTTGTCGTGAGTTGAGGTTTTGGTCATGAGGTGACTAACAGCAGCTGGTGACCTCTGTCAGATTTAATTTCAACACTAAGATGGTACTGTTTTCCGTTTGCATTTTTTTAATGTTCGCAGCTCCTTTTGGCCCGTTTTACCTAACAAGTGGTATGCGTTCGAGTTAGGGGAATAACAATTTATATTTATCGTTCAAGGGGAAATAAATCGTCGCTGAATTCTATTTTTTCTACGAAAATTAACTATGTATGTACCAATTGATTGTTTTTGGTGGACAATAGTAACATTGAATTGCCTCGTACGAGCTTAACCGAGGACTCCATGAAATGTCTTTCTTACACATGTTGCTAAATACTTAATATATATCATATAAATATATATGATTGCTTGTTATCATAGTAATAATAATAAAGAGGCACTTTCTTCTTTTATCGAGGATATAAAAGCAGCGAACTTCTTTACGGAATACTGGATATTGGAGTCCCCGGAAGAATTTCTTTTCCTTGGAAATAGTACAACATAGATTAAGCGCGCAACGTGTTTGACTCGACACGACGTGCCCCTTTTTCCTGAGCAGTTACCAAGCGGTAGTGGGCTTTTGCACGTCTGCTATGTTTATCCATGCATTTGGCGAACTTTCATTGCTCGTTCAGAAAAACACTAGAAATGAAGGAGTTTGTAATCAGTGAGATGATTTTTTACTGTAGGAATTCCTAGTTGGGTATAGATTTGACCTGAACATTTCACGTCTAACCGCACTTGGTCTTGGTGCCAGACTGTCAGGTTCTGCAACATCCTAGCAAATTTATTTGAAGATTAAAATTATTAATTAGGTCAGGGTGCTAAATACTGAATTCATAGGTAGAATGCCGTATTTATTCGATTAACCGCCCTGGGCGCTTATTAAATTTTTGGAACTTTAGAGTGGGCGCTTATTAAGTTTTCGCCATTTTCAGCAACTGTAGTACGTTTATTTTGCAACAAAACTATAAATGGTAATAACAAAAAGTGAAGATGTAACAAAGCAAGGTTTCTGTAAACTATTCTGAAGAAAAGTCCCTCCTGGGGGAAGTCTCTTATTAGTACTTATTCAATTTCAATTTCAATCTCATTGTCACTCAAGGGGGTGGGGGTGGGCGCTTATTCGAGGTGGGCGCTAATTCGAGGTTGGGCGCTTATTTGAATAAATACGGTAACTGTACAAATACTGGAGCACTATATTTCCCTTCATAGCGTTGGTACTAAACAAGGCGCTGCCAGTGGCGGCTATACCGGGTAGTTTCTCTGACATGTGTAACATACCATAAATCCTCTATTAAGCCCCCCCTCTCAAATAATCCCCCCCCCCTCTAATAAGCCCCCCTTTTCAGGGGACCACGTTTTTCCTTTTTGGGTGTGGGAGGGTGATAATGTATAGATGTATCTTTATGTTCGACAGAGGCAAGACAAATATACTTCTATTTTAAAGATAATATATTAAACAAATTAATGGTCGTTCATGTGTGTTACGAAGTTCTCTACAGAGAGAGCATCTCTAGGGGCTCTTTTATGATACAAAATAACATTTCTGTCTTGTGGCAGCTCAGTGAACGCCTCTTGGTGTCTAGTAGTTCTTTAATCCTTATAATCAAAGAGTTCAATGCAATAGTTCTGCTGGTGAGGTTGTTTCATTTTATAATTAATGGTAACGGAACATAACAGGATTTTGTCCTCAGATATAAAAAAGTTACAATAGTGACACAATCTCTCTATCACGTGGCCTAAACGTGAAAGCGTTGAAGACTCCCTTTACTACTGGAGGTACAAAGGCTACGCCTAGCCTAGTTCCTGTACGGCGTTTTCCCAGGCCTTCTCGGTCAATTCACTTCGGGGACGTATCCGAGGCGAACGGGAGGGAAACACACTTCTTCACTTCTTCGCTACTACCAGCCGGGCCGAAACGCATTGTCCACGCGAATTAATGAAGCCTGGGACTACATTGTAGAATTTATCTTGTACTTTGGCTGGGGGTTCACGCCAGCGACGATAACTCAAAGAAGAAAGTGTGATTACAAGAGAACATATTTCCATTTCTTGTCTTGGCGCTTGCGCTTTCGTTTTGCAGATGTTGACCAATTTTCGTCCTGTAATGCGCGCGCATGCTGGCTCTTTTCCCAACTGCTGGTTGAGGGGAACGAAGACGCCGGGTGTGAGGGTGAGATGTTAACTGCGGATAACGTAAGCGCAAGCCCAAGGTGAAAAATGTTCGTCCACTATTTCAATCACTGTCAAGAGCCCATGATGGGCTCCTGTCACTGTTTACAAACATTGCCTTTGTTATTCAAATTTGTAACGAGCGAAGGAATAGAATCTTTTGTTTCAAGAACCAATGCGCGCCGGTTGGCACATTAATATCAATTCGTGACGTCAGCGTGAGCATCGCTACTAAAATTGTATCAAAATAAGCGACGTCACATGACAAAGCGGAATAGCGCGGAAAGGACTACACGCGACTTACCATCGGTCCAGTCGGCTTTTAGGGACCTTACGATCCGAAAACGGCGACGCCAATGAAAACGTTGCTGAAAAATAGACTTCGCATCCTTTGAACCTTTTTCGTTCTTACACCAAGTCACCCAGTTACTTGAAAGGAGAGAGGTTAGGTTGGAACTAAAGAGAGGGGACCGCGTCCGAGTTAAGAGAGAGAAAGTAATAATTACCTTGCCGTTCCCGTTCTCAAGTCAACCCAAAATTTCACGTTGCAGTTGTGCAGAGACGGCAAAGAAATGTACAAAAAAGCATGATGCACGTGCAGAGTTGTTGTTTTGCTCATTGAATTTAATGCTTTTTGACGTTCCCGTTGCAGTCGCCGTCATAGTTTGGTAAGGTCCCTGGGACCTTAAGATCCGAGGACCGCTACGGCAGAGAAAACGTCGCTGAAAAAGTGAATTCGCGTTCTTTCAATCTTCATCGCGATTGCTCTAAGTCACTAACTTTGTCAAATGTAGGCGAACCCTTCTAAAGTTGAATTCCTAAGAACCATATCCAAGTTCAGAAAGAGAGAGGAAATTTCGTCGTCGCTTGTGTACTTCCTCTGTACATCGTGAAATTTGGCATTTTCACGTCGTAGTCTTGCAGTGACGGCAAAGAAATGTACAAAAAAGCGTGATGTACGTGCGAAATATTGTTTAGCTAATTAAACCAACTTGATTAAACCTATTGCGGCTTGTTTTGGCCTCCCGTTGCCGTCGCCGTCGTCGGATCTTAAGGTCCCCAGCGACGGCAGCGAAAACGTAGCTATATAAAACGTCACTTTTAAAATGAATTCGCGAGTTTTCAAACTTCTTCGCGTTTATTCCAAATTGCTGAAAATGTCAAATGTAGGCAGATGTCCCTCATGGCTTATAATTATGTGGAGGCTCCGCTCAAAAGGGGTACCTTTTTTCAGGCTTCAGGTTTCTTCAGGTATCGGATGAAATGGTAGGGATTTCGATAGTTGAAGTATATGAAAGGGCATTTTGATCGGTAAAAAGGCCCAAAAGGAGTAACAGATACATTTTATGGCGCTAAAAACTCGAGAAAACGTTCTGGTTTTGTGACTTATTCTTATATGACTTATTCTGTTCGGAAGACGATTTGAGATCTAGAATTTTCCGAACATTTGTTGTAAAATTTCTTTCTTGCCTGCCTCTCCTAAGATTTTCGAACATCTAAAACTGGTATAATTGCCCATTTTTAAAGGATTTTTCAGTGATCTTTACCCTTCAAAGGTCACCTAGAATTTACGGGAGCCCTTTTTCTGGCTGAAATTTTTGAAAAGGTAAGTTTTGATCCCCATAATTTTCGGATCACTAGACTTTCAGCTAGGAAATCCGAACAGATGCCATGAAAAGGGGTAAAAATTGTTGGTTCTGACAGGAGCCGATAATCGGTTCCTGGTTCTGATTGAAGCGGAGAAGAAATTTCCAATTTTTGATCAAAATCATGGGCTAACCCTTTCCGAAAAAGTCGAATTTTTCGTCAATGTAAAAATACAATCTTTTTTCCCTCCAAACGTTTGGCCAATCCGAAACGAGTTAGCATTCCACGTGATCAAAATAATTCGAAGCCAGTCTATCTAGACAGCGGCTTCTCGTATTATGACAGGAAAGCGCGCGAACCAACATGGATGGTGAGTGTAAATTGCTTCAAATTTTATCGTAAAATATCATTATTTTTATTGTCAGTTTCTTCTCCCTGCTTACGTCAATGTTTTGTGGATGTCAATATTTTAGTTCCGATGGTTGAGCAGGCGCTTGCTCGCTACAAATGCGATGCAAACACGGCGGTTCGCTTCAAACTTGGTAAGAGATAGGGACCAAAAACATATACCGTAAAATCCTTTTGATAAAGTTTCTTCTAGTGTAGTTATAATTTACGATATTGAGCACAAGACAATACCACTGTTAATCAAACATGGTCACAGCTCAATGTCCAATGGCGTTCAATTACTGATTACAATCAGGACGTATCTAATCGATAGAAATCGATCATCGAAAATGTAATCGATTAATTGATAATACTCGATAGTACTCGATATTTGTCGATTGATTAGTCAAATCGATAATCACAAATTTTGATTTTTGTCGCATATATCGAAATCGAAAATCAAAAACGTGACCTGATCTTATCATAACACTGCGTAACACTTACCTTCAAGCTTACCTTGGAATCCGCTTTGTTGAGAAAGATGATATTACTTCTTTCTCCAATGTGATCTTTGTGAAGGCGGAAATGACAATTGCGTTACGGTTGCCTTGTTTATAGTTTGGAGGAGGTTAATGTTGAAATATGAAACAGAACGAGAAGAGGACTCGAGATATCGTAACAACAAGCATGACTTTAATCGTGAAGGCGGAAACGATAGTTTCGTAACAGTGGCATTGTTTATGTTTTAATCCTTTTCAATTTCAAAATTTATTAAAAATCCTATAGTAAATCTTAAATAAAGTGTAAATGGAATGTTTTTCAGTTCAGTTTGGACTACTGTGTATTAGTTCAAATGAGTTGTGACTCATTCTAGCGTAAAACTGAGAACTTTATGAAAGAGAATCTTCGTCCATTTTCTTTTCGATCATTGTCAAACAAATCGATAAAATCAATAGCTAATTACAGAAATTGATCAAAATCGATAATCACAAAGACGCGAGTGATCGATTTCTATCAATTTCCGATAGTAATTGATTGATTAGTATCGATTACGATTAATTACGTTCAATTTCTATCGAGTATCAAAAACATCGATTAGATATGTCCTGTTACAATTTAGGTGATCATTTACTGTCTGGTTTGGGTCATTCCAAAAAAGGGTAATAGCCACAGCCCCCTATAGACAAGGTAAGATATAACTTGACCCTTGAGAAAATAAAAAAAGATTGACAATGTGCCGACACATTGCCATATTTGAATGAGCCCCCTTCCCCCCCATTTTTTCTCATGCCTCTCAGAAATATTCCGGCAAAGATCAAAGGTGCTGACACAGCCTAGCCTGGTAGTAGAAATAGCTTTCAAAGTCCCCTTAGAAAATCTCATCCATGCGAGGAGATGTGGATATTAAATGGAATGTCCACCACTTTTTAGATTCTTGATATAAAGTGCCTTGTGTTTTTTTTTTGGTATGAGAAACAGTGGGACTGATATGAAAAGCAGAGAGACTTTATACTAAACAGAATATCACAAAAGAAATGGCAACAAATGACAGTGGCAGATCCAATCCATGCCTTCATATAAAGGGGGGCCAGGTCTCAAAAAAACCTTTTTTGGCTCTTTGGGCCTCTTATTTGTACTATAATCAGAGAACTCTAAAAAACAAAAAAAAGCGTCATATTCCCGATATAAAAACAAAACTGAAAAAACACAAAAACCCAGCTGCGTGAGACACCTACTCCATGAAGAAAAAAGAGATGCTAAATTAAAATGATTTTGTCTAGTGTGTTGTGGTTCGGGTTGGTACAGTGGGGGGTTGGGGGCGGGGGCCTGGATCTGCCACTGAACGACATTGAAAAGGGGTTGAAACTGTGACAATGACATGGAAAATTACAAATACAGTAGTCAAATATCAACAGCTACATGGCCTCCTTTTCAATATGCGAAACGACTTCATTGAAATTCAGACTTGGGACATAGGTATCCTCTTAAGAGGGCTTTCTATAACCAAACAAATTTTTTTTATTGCAGTTCAGTGTGAGAATGATGTATTCGACAAAGGAAAAGAGTTTCAGCCAGCGTTTTCTCATCAGATATTTGGACAAAAGTGAGTGGTTGTTAATAAACCAAAATAAGGTTCAGGGGTTTGCTGTCACAGATGGAGGCAACTTGTTTTCCTTCACTTCACCATAGGGACCTTAAGATCCGAGGACGGTGACGGCAGAGAAAACGTTGCTGAAAAAGTGAATTCGCGTTCTTTCAATCTTCATCGCGATTACTCCAAGTCACTAACTTTTTCAAATGTAGGCGAACCATCCTAAAGTTGAATTCCTAAGAACCATATCCAAGTGCAGAAAGGAGAGAAGAAATTTCATCGTCGCTTGTGTACTTCCTCCGTACAACGTGAAATTAGGCATTTTCTCGTCGTAGTCCTGCAGTGACTGCAATGAAATCTACAAAAAAGCGTGATGCACGTGCAAAATTGTTGTTTTGCTAATAAATTAAACCTATTGCTTTTGTGGCGTTCTCGTTGCCATCGCTGTCATTGGATGTTAAGGTTCCTATTAGCCCATTACAGTTACAGGTGGAAACAAGGTTGGAGCTGACCTTGTTTATGATACAACCCTGCCAGCTTTATTATGTAGATCAATGTTTCTACTATATAAATCATGTTGTTCTTAATGCTAACTAGTATTTTTAAGCCTAATCTTCCTAATGAAAAGGAAAGAGGTTTGTATCACAACAAAGTCAACCTCAACCTCACATTTACTCAAAGGCTTGGAAACTAAGCCCACAACTGGAAAGCTGCCTTCGTATAGACATAAAAAATTGTAAGTTATATCTGATTCTTTCTAATCATTCTCTAGCGGGAGAAGACAGCCAACTTTTTTGCGACGGCACCACTAGCAAATTTTCATCCACTCAGAAGCACCACCCAGATCTGAATTTTTGCACTCGTTTCTCGGATGTCATTTTGCAGGGAACCAGTGGTGAAGTCACAAAATTATGGTATTTTTCCTTAGGTTAATTATTCTCTACACATACCATTACCAGAAAAGATGATGTTATTGTCTTCTAATTCTTTTGTTTTCTTGTGCAGTGAAACCATCTTTGGATATAGCAATTTGGAAGTGCAGGTATACAAATTATTAACTGATGTACACTGTGGTACAACTTTCTACACTGGTGTTGCACATAGACATTGTTTATTCTCAAATTTTGGTTATAAACTGAGAAGACAGATTTTGTTTAAATTCAATTGAAAGTATATTATTATTGAGGCAAAAAAATAAACAAGCAAAATAAAGAAAACTACAGTTTAATTGTAAAAAAGTCATTTTTTTCTACTAAAAATGTATAATATATATTTTTAGTAGAAAAAAATGACTTTTTATATTTTCTAGTTGTACTATCATAGTGGCAGCCTGTTGACCTATATGGGGATGAAACACGATGGAGAAGTGAACAGCAAAATTGTAAATGGAGTTGAGGTAAGTGATATGATAGTAAATACGCACCAGTCTCATATCGGTAAACACTGTTTAACCCTTGGATTCTACAATCTTGGACAAAAATGTTAGGAAAAATGGACATGACCATATCTAGTTTCAAGATAAAGCTCGTGAAAGCACTGGCAACTACAAAATACAACCCCTTCCTCCAAAAAAACAATGTTGAAGCCCAGATGGATTATTTCTGGCCTCGACTAAACAGTTTTGACTAGGGTGGGGTGAGAAGATCAGAGGGACCATAACAGTACCAAATTTGTGGGATACACATTCTGTAGGTAAGAAAAGTGCAAAATTCTTAACACTTTTTGTCCACGATTGTAGCATAATATCCTTAACCCTTCATTCTCAGGGGTGTATTCATTGAATTTTCTTCTGGTACATTTCTCAGGGAGAACTGCCTTTTAGGAATCAGGACTGTGCTCTAAGAAACATATGAGAGGGAACCTGGCATATAATTTTTTTCTGAAAAAAACTATGATTTTCTAGTGGCCCAAGAGTGAAAGTAAGACAACAGGGGCCAACAGTAGCTGTCCCTTTAATAAAGAACTTTGAAAACACTGGTAAAAGAGGGGGTTGTAAGAGTTTGGGGTCCTACATTTTGTGGGAAATTTTTACTTTAACCTGCTGTATTGCATTATTGTATTGTATGCCTTGCATTATTATTTTTATGAACCTCCCTGGGCTAAATTGTTAATCCCCATCGTTTTCTTTTTTGCAGCCTGACCCTGTTCTGAGTGACATTGCCAAAAATTACCCCGCAGGTAGGTAATTATGATAATAATGCTGATGATGATGACGACAATGACGACGACAATACAGATATACATATAAAAATAATTATGATCTTCAAGGAATTGAATCAGGTGGGAATAATTGTAACCATTTTGTTCTCTCTGGGTTATTTTCAATTTTTGCCTTATCCTTGATATTGTATCATTCTAGGTTGTCTGACAAATTTAGATGAGTTTATTGCAAAACTTCCTGAAGAAGCCAAATTCACCCCAATGGGAGAGTTGCTTCATTCATACAAGTGCAGTGATGTCGAGTATGAAATCTATAAGGTAATATTTTATTATGTTAGCCTGAGCCACTTCGCAGTACTTTTTTGTAACTTTTCTTTAAGTAATGATAACTCCATGCATATGCTCTATGCTCTTAATTCTTAGTCATGTTCCTTTTTAACCCTGATTCACATATTTCTAGACCAATGAACTAAACTTAAATTCCTTCCATTAATGCACCTTATTTGAGTGTCAATGTATTTAGTACAACTTGGACCCTATTTTTACGTCTCCTGCCAGAGATGGGACGGGACTGCCATTTTACGTGGTCATCTGAGCCATGAAAAGGTCTAGCAGTTTGCAGGGCAAAGACAGTACCTTCATTTCTCCATTCCGTTAAGACCTGGAGTATTGGTCCAGGATAAGACCCTGAATTTCTCTCAACTATACCGTATAATATTACTGCCAGTGCATATTTCCAAACAAAGAGGCAAAATGACCTACACAGTTAAAAAGTTCTACTGTGTGCATCGTAATTTTTTATATGATTAAGAGGAAATTTAATCCCCTCACTTTGTCCTCTTGGGAGATGATTTTTTTGCCGTAGGCCTAAATATGTTAGAGTGAGAAATATTGTCTGACAGTCTAAGTGTGGTGATCATGTATTCCCCAGGCCGATGTTATGACACCAAGACTCAAGGATTATCATAAAAGACTCCAGACGTTTTTGTTATGGTTCGTTGATGGGTCATCATACATAGGTACAAACAGTAACAAGTACATCCAAAGTTAAAGAATATCAGTAATTTCCAGTGATTTTGTTACAAATAGTTATGGTGAGTCCTGTGACTCATCTTGTGAAAAATCATGAGTTCTAGTCCAGAACCAATGAGCCCCTGTTAAAAAAAGAGTTTGAAATTGAAAATGCTTGGGCCTTTATGTAACCAGACAGTTAATCTGAAGACAGGCTCCAAAAATCTGTATTACAGTATACTGAAATTAAAATACAGTCCTTCTATTTCAAAGCACAACAAAGGCTGAAAGATCTATGCATTGTTAAGCAACAGCCCTAAATGCTGCAGAAATTACAGGAACGGGCCGGGTATTTCTACAAACACACATGTTCAAACTTAAAACGCATGCCATAAATAATTTTGCATCTTTAAAGATTTTTATGTGTCAGGGATGCAGGACGCAGATGTAACAAAATCACTGAGTTTCTTAGTGTTGTTGACGGATATGATTAGCAAATGATGTAATACAATGATTGAAAAGACACTGTCCAATACCCACAACACAATACAATCCTATGTACAATGCCTTCTGCAACACCAAGAAATACCCAGTATGTCCATCTCACTATTTTGAATAATCTGCCCTAGAAATAAGATCAGGATGGTAGGTATAATGCCCTGATGTACCTTTGTAAAGATTTTGTCTGCTAAAACCAGTATAGTCACTATTTATTTCTGTGCTGTCTCATTTAGATTCAGACGATGAAATGTGGACATTCTTCCTTTTGTAAGTAATGAATTTAAGATTTAACTTGGTGTACTTCCTTCTTTCTAACATTATTTTATATCTAAAAAACTTTTAAGACATCTTTCTTAACCGTTGGTGTACATATTCTTTGCAGATTTGAGAAGAGAAAAGAGGCCGGCAATGTCTATTACAGTATTGTGGGCTATTCAACAGTCTACCAGTACTATGCGTACCCTGATAAGATAAGGCCTCGTATAAGGTAGATTTTTATCCTTCTTTTTGTACTCCTCAAGTTTTAGTTAAAAGTCATTTTGTAGGTAGACAAAATTTGATCAAGGCTGCTACCAAGGCTGTCATTTAGAAGCGGGGGTCGGGGATTTCCCCTGGCTACTATGTTCTTGGCCCCCAGCTTCTTTCATAGGAAAATAGAAGAACAATAGAACCAAAAGAAACCTCTAGCTGTTTTATTCCCTGCCTACTTGCTGTATTTACCCGGCAACTTGAAATCTTATTGACATCCCTGTGTTACAAAGGGGCGTGGCCAGGGGACAGGGATTTTCCCAGGCTCCTACAAGTATGACCACCAGCTACTTTCACAGGAAAAAAAGGAAAACTGAACCAAAAGAACGTCTTAGCTTTTCAATATTCCTTAACTACTAGTAATATTATTTAGCCAGTGCATTTTAAGACGGAATCCACCAGGAAATTGAGTATTTTGATTATTAGTGGACAAAAACCTTGTGCCAGAATAATTTAAAGAATATTACATTCTTTTTCACAGTTTCCAAGGCCTAAAGATATAATTAGTCATCTGTAATAACACCAAAGAAAATTTCCCATGGGAGTCCGAGAAAATGAATGTCAAATTTCACAAGAATTGTGAAAACACAGGTAAAATTTTGAAAATTTCAAGTGTAAGATGTAATTTTGTGAAGTTTGACATTCATTTTCTTGGGCTCCCACAAGAAATTTACATTGGTGTTACTACAGATGACTAATTACATCTTTAGCCCTTCAAAAATTTAAAAAATAATGCAATTTTCTTTAAATTATTCTTGTACAAGGTTTTTGTCCACTGAAAATTAAAATTACTCAATTACCTGGTGGATTCCTTTTTAAAATCTGAGTAACAACCCTGCTTGACCCTTTGACTTTGTAGTCTATGTGCATGCAATTAGGAAATTAGGGACATAGTTGACGTTGATTTTATTTAAGACACAGAATTTCCCCTGAAAATAGAGATTCCATTACTTTTTGCTCTTTGTTTTTTCTTTACAGTCAGATGCTTATTCTTCCTCCTTTTCAAAGACAAGGACATGGAGGTAGACCATTTAACTACAAATTCAACTGTGCATTTGTTACAAACTGGCATCAATAATAGAGTCGAACCTCTTGTAAGAGGTCACCCAAAATGTGAAGAGTTAGTGGTTGCTTACAGAAGTGCTCATTTACCAGAGTTGAACTGCAGGAAATCTTTAACAAGGAGAAGTCCAGACGCATCTACTTTTTGGAGAGAATGTATTGCATGCAATTTTTAGGTTACAATAACGTGAACCCATGTTGTTTCTTACAGTTTCCTCATACTCTGAGTAACCATAATACATACCCAGGAGGGGTACTCCGGATTTCAAGTGACAGGGATGATCGAAAAGGGACAAAAATCAAAATCCGAAAAAATCCCTAGGGCTTCCGACAAAACCCAAAAAAATCGGTAGACCAAAAATTAACTCCCCAAAAATCCCATGCTGAATTTCCGAGCCTTAGATGGAGTGTAATGCATTAAATATTAAAACAGCTGCAAAAATCCCCCAAAAGTTCATATACTTAAATCAAGCCACCCAAAAATATACTTTTCCTGCCCAAAAAAATCCCGGAATCAAAAATTTCAAACCCAGAAAAATCCTTCAATCATCCCCGTCACTCGAATTCCAGAGTACCACCCTAGGAACACATACATCAAATACATCTAAAGCAGTCAAACTAAAATGCAGTTGCAGTCACTCTCAAGAGGCAGTCATATATGAGAGGTTCCAATTATAAGGCTATGACTGGGAAAATGTTTGGTTTTGGATAAACAGTCGCTTATAGGAGGCGGTTGCTTAATTACAAGAGGTTATCACACATGGATGTTTGACTGTTTAAGATTGTATGGTTTGCTATTATCTTGTCAGTTCAGTTGCTCCAAACCGTTGATAGATTCTACGTCAAGAATCCGCGGGTGCTAGACATAACAGGTATGTATGATTATTTTTGAAGTTATGACTGTGCCATTGTACTGTAAATGATAGGACTAGGGTTCTTCAGAAGCTCTGATGACTGGCAGAAATTGCCATTTAGCCACTACAGAAGCATTGCCTATTCTCAAAAAATAATTTTAGCGGCATAAGAAATCGTTGCATTAATTGTTTGTTAATGCTTTTGTACAATAAAAAAAAATTAAATGAAGCAAATGTGGCTTAATAAAGGTACTATCTGAGACTGTCCAATCATCCCAATCTCATCAGGATTGTCCCAATTTTGCTTGAAAATCCTGAATCCTGACCAATATGTGATTGGGATAGCAAAAATCTGGATTTTGACACAGCATGCAGAAAAAGTAGTGCCTGATAGCCCGGGGCTAGTGGATTTTGCTATCGGGCTAGTGAATTCTGTTATTAACTTGCCCAACAGGCAAGTGAAGTTGAGTAATTCAAATTACAGAAGAACTGTGAAATCAATCTGCTCATCAAAACGTTTTTTGGGCTAGTTGAAATGATATTTGGGCCAGTAAATGTAAGCTTCATCTTGCCCAAATGGCAAGCTGTAAAAATGACTTCCTTTGCACGCTGTGACATCTGTTCTGATATTTTCAAATGAATTGTTACGATATAAATTTTATACAAGAACACAAAATATACAATAAAATTGAGTACTTGCACAAGAAGCCATGCAAATAAAAATAAGCATAAAAATGACAATCGATTTAGTGAATGTTCTAGACAGTAAGTGTCCTCTCAGGATGCTAGAAATGGCATTTCAGAGCATCAAGATTTCAAAATTATCTGGGAGAGCAGCCCGTCGCCCCCTTAGAGGCTCACGCCGTCGGCTCTCGCGTCATCCATAGATGATAGAAAAATATCCCGATTTTACATACTCAGAAGGTTGAACAGTCTGCTATCACCATGGCTAAAATTCTCTCCCTAGCTGCTCAAAGTGCACTTTTTACCCTCGCTCTTCCTCTCCCCAAAGGCCTCCAGAAAGATCTCCCTCAATTGGAAGGTGGGTAACCCTCTCTCATGACGTGCTTGAATGCTTCCCCCATATAAGGCTATGACATGATAACCCACCCTCTTCAGTGTCTTCCCTAGGTGGTGTGGTTTTGTTTACAGCCCTTGACGGCAGCTCTGTTTACAGCTGAACCCCACTTTATGGACACAGCTTTGTCCCTGGGGAAAGAAGGCCTTTATATTTTCTCAAAGTCACTTTCTATAGACCCATCAGTGTCTTTATTAACGGAGTTTGACTGTATCATTATTTCCAGTATTTGACTGGCACTCTGACCACTTAAAGGAGCTGTGTCACGAAATTCAGACAAATTAGGTAATAATTACAAAATACCCGTTAAATTAAGATAAACAAAAATAACCGCTCAAAACATTAAAGGAAGTTTAAAATAACACAACAGAAACAGCAGATTCCACGGATGGGCTAAACTGAAGAAGATTGAAAAGGATTGAAATAAGGGTTTTTGAAAACTGTTCAGCCTAACAGTTTTTCGAAGTTGATCCCCGCTGCTTGCAACTTCGAAAATAATGCTCAAGAGTACAGATTTGATTGCCTCGGATCTCTGATTTTGTCATTTACATATAATTTCTTTGCTTACTTCAAGTTCTATAGCGACTGAGGGCGAGTAATTGGCAAAACTAAACAAAATGAACTGGACTGCCGTGACACAACCCCTTTAATTCTCTACTTTCTGTCAAGTTAGATCCAAACTCAAACATAGAACATGGCAGATTCACAAAGTCCAAAAACTATTCTCCATCTTTTTCTTAGTGGAGGAGCCTTCATCTGACTTCTTGAAGTTGAGGGATTATGTAGATGCCTTAGATTGCAGGAACCTGTCAGCATTTTCACCGGAAAACTTACGAAGTGGCTTCAGTGATAAAATGGTGCAGCAAGCAAGAGAAGAACTCAAGATCAACAAGGTAAAGAATGATGTTGAAACCCAGGTTCAGGGGCGTAGCCAGGATTTTTCAAAGGGGGGGTCACAGACAGGGACACCATCCGGGGATTGCGGACTATAATGGTTTATACCGCTGCTCTCCCTCATGTATCAGCGGGCTCAGTCTTATTCTCTCGGCATGAAGCGCCATATTAACTAAAGACAAGAGCCGTTGACGAAAATACTTTACAAAAAAACAAGTTTTAAAGAAGTGGGCTTTTCAACAATGGCTTTTACGGCCAAGATATTGTCATGGCGTTTTGGCCACCTGAATATTGTTGGTTGTTTGCTCAAAAGAAGGCCTACCAAGGGGGGGTCACGGGCACTCCAGGACCCCCCCCCCCCCCCCCCCCCCCCCCCCCCCGGGGGGGGAAGTTTTTGTTACGGTGGGGGTCCTTTTTTTTTTTTTTTTTTTTTTTACTTTTTTTCACCTCTCCTCTTTTTTTCTTGTTTGTTCTTCCCATTTTATGTTACAAAAAAAAAAATTTTTAAAGAGTGGGGTTTTTAAAAAAGGGTTTTTCGGGCCAGATATTGTTATGGGGTTTTGGGCACCCGTAATTTTTTGGGTTTTTTTGCAAAAAAAGGGCCCCCAAGGGGGGGGCACGGGGCCCCCAGGGCCCCCCCCCCCCCCCTAGCTATGCCCCTGAGGTTGTAGTATTATTGAAATGTCGTGGCCTCATTTTTTTTTATTTGCATGATTCACATTTTACCATGTCTCCTTTACTAAGTTACAGATTCCAAATACTTAATTTCATATATGTTGAAATATTACCTTGTAGCTTCAGTGCAGGAGAGTATATGAAATTCTACGTCTCCGTGTGACAGATCTTAGTAATGCTGAGGAATACAAGGCCTACAGGCTTGAAGTGAAAAACAGACTCAACATTCCATTCCAGGTATGTAAAATAATGTATAAGTTTTGGATGTTATCACATGAACTAGGGAAGTTGCCCTCATAAATTATCTTCTTTCTTCTCAGTTCCTGTCACTACCATTTTTCTTTCTCCACCATTCCTTTTCTCCCACACTATATAGTACAGGCCTGGCCCCGGTTGTTAAAACATTAGATAGCGCTATCCACTGGATAAATAATAAATTATTACTATCCAATGGATAAGTATTAGGGAAACCAATTGCATTATTCAGTGGATAGAGTGTTATCCACCTTTTGAACAACTGGGGTGTGGCATCTTGGTTACCACTCCCTTTTTTTCTCTTGTTCTCCTACCACCTTCCTTTTTGTCATCCCCATTTCTTGCTTTTTTTTTAGTTTCTGATTTCTCTACCACTCCCTCTTCACATTGTCAGAGGTAATGCTCCCTATCTCCCCATCATAAAATAATAGCTGGCTTTTGTTTAGTTCCCTCCCCATTTTTTTTCTCTGCTCATTCCTTATTGCTTTTCTCACAGTCCTTCTCCTCCCGCCTCTCAGATTCCACATCCCTGTCTTTCCAATATCTTCCACTTCCCACTCCTTTTATCTCAGTTCCACAAACGTTCTTCCCATAACTGCCCCGTTATCTCTGTTCCTGCTTTTCATTCATCCAGTTGTCAGGAAACATCTTCGCTCTGACCACATGACCCGAAACGCTTTGGCCGCACAGCATAATAAGGCCTAGGGACAAGGCAAATTGTCACTCATGCCGTTTTTCCCTGCTCCCACCCACTTTCTTCCTCAATTTCCTTCATTTTCCCTCTTTTGTTGATTACTGAAGTTTGCCCTTTGGGAATGACAATCCCATTGGCTCAATACAGAACAGTTCTTAGATGGATTATTCCAATGTTAATGCCAATAATGCACCCCACTGGAGATCTGTTATTCTTTTGGGCCACGTGTAGTAACGTTCAACAATATTATTATTCATTTTCAGAAAGAGAAAGCTGATATGGAGAAATTAAAACGTTTGTTGAAGCCTGAGGAACTGACTGCCACTCAGCAGACACAGCATGAACGAATGCAGTACCTGGATCAAGTCTATCAAGAGCTGGAAGCACATTACAAGAAGACTATAGAGAAAATGGCTGCTTCTTAATGGCTATAAATTGACTCTAGATTTGAGTTAGTTTTGAGGTGTCAGTGATTAAACTCTGAAGTCTGTTGTTAGAAACTAACAGAAAAAATGTGAAGAACACCATACACGGAAGTACTGCTCAGCGCATTGGGCTTCATAAGGACACAAAGACCGTTTAACTTGTCTTTTTGTACTTAAATAGCAGCCTGCCCTTTAAGATAACAGGAGCAAAAGATCTCAGCAAAACGGTAGTCATACTTTATTCAAAGTCTTTTACTCTTTAATGCTGTAATAAAAAAAAAAATTGGGTGTTTGTAAACTTGTCATGAACTGGCATTGACAGAAACAGCCAAGCATGAAATAAAAAGAGATTGCTATGACCCTAAGCTTTGGTTTTGTTTGACTTGGAATGTCACTGAACATAAACTAAGGAGATCAAATTATTTTGAAGTATTTTTCTCATTTCAAAGAGGCCAATATCACCGGACAACAGCCATGGCAGCAGTTTGGTGAGGCCATGGCAAGAGGTGCAAATGTAAAATGTACGTAGGGGTCCTGTGATCTTTTTTTCAAGAGTAACAATTAACTGTCTGAGTTCTCCTCCTAGGTTATTACACATTTTAAAAAGTTTTAATGACAAATGATGGGGTGGCAACTTCTGATGAGAGTCTGTCTGCTCTCACAGATGACTTTTGAAGTACTGCTCATCGACATCACTGACTATGATAAATATTATCTTGGTCCTCGCTGGCTCTTTTCAATCTCATTTTGAATGTTTTTCAGGAAATTTCTTGTAAAGGAAACAAGCCTCCCAGTAGCTTGAGGATATCTTTGAAAGTTTTCATTTGCCTCGCTTGACTTAACAGCTTTATCCAAGGCATCATTACCTGAAAAAAAAAAAAAAAAAAAATAACCCTTTAAGCCCCAATATCCACATACAAATTCTCCAAACTGATCTCCATACATTTCCTTAAAGAATGAGTTGAGAGAATTTGTTCAAAAATCAAAGCATTATCCTTTAAGTGATGATTTTATTTATTCTCACAACCTTTTCTTTTAATCATGTATTGGTATTGTTAGGAGAAAAGTGATGTTGGTCACTCTTGCAATATAAAGGATCAAACAACAAGGGTCAAGCAAAAGTTGTTTAAAGGGCTGAAGTTTGAATAAATTAGATTGTTTTCATGCATGCTTTATTGTTATGTAGATTTCGTAATAGAAAAGGTTAGCGCCAAACTAATCCAGTTGCACATTCAATGAAGCATGCGCAAATACAATCTAATTTATTCAATCTTCAGCTCTTTAAACAAATTACTTTTAAACTTAACATTTTTCACTCTTGATAATGTGTGATACATCGAAAGGTCAAGTAACATTTTTAAGTTTAATTTTTCTTGTTAAATGCTTCAACAAGCAACTGACTATCAGAAGTCAAAAATAAAAACCAAAACTGTCACAGCTTGAGTAACTGCCATGAGGGCCTAAATGAAGCTGCTATGAATGAGGAATCTGAACTTACGTACCCCATAGTGTCATTCGTCTGTAGGTGTAATGGGTAAGCTGAGCCAGACGACGGATGGGGTATGAGTTAGCAAGCTGAAGATAAACCAAAATGATTCAATTTAATTTATTAGGCTGATTTAGCAACTGGACGGGAATGTCATTTGACGACGGGAAAGCACACGGGAAGGACTAAACACGACTTCCGGTGTCCAATTTGCCGCTCTGCCATTGGTCAAGCCAGTTGTTTAGTTTGCGCGCGCCATCATCAACTGACGTTCTCGTTCTGTTGCTAAATCAGCCTATTATTACTGATTGTACTACAGTATGCTTAGTATACATGTTTTAATAATTTCAGTCTAAAATTGAAAGGGTTTCAGAAAACGGACCTAAGTGACTTTCTAAGATGCTCCTTCCAAATTAGTACACTTGTGTTTGCTTAAGCTGTTATAATTTGAGACAAAATCAACTTGAGACATGGTTAAGGTCTTTTTTAGGCACCCTCTTCAATTTTTTTTTTGCTTTTGTCTCTCACACAAAAGCTAACAGTTAAAGGATAAGTTTTGACCCATAATAAATTAGCCTCTTGGGGTCATGGACTTGAAATCCACTACCCACAATACCCCCACCAAATATTTTACAACGTTACTTAGTTTCCCCTTTTTCTCCCTCTCTTTTTAATTTGACATGTGCATTTTTCCAGTGGTCTCCCAAAATTTTAGCTAAGCAGGTAAGGGACCATTCATGGCCAACAAGGCAAAAAATATGTGCCAGAGGTGCACTTTCCTGAGGTATAGTGGAGTGAGGGACACAGCCCTCCCCTTGCTGAGCAATTTAGGAGCTAGCTCTCTGAAGCGTCATTCCCTCATTTTAAGACAGCATTGTTACCTTTTGTTGCTTCAGGTAAATTTTACTGGTTACTGCCTGATAACGAGAACACTTTTTATCATGCCATTATGTACACATTAATAATTTATTGCTCATACTAGTATTTGCCTAATTTGATGAACATTCTCCTGATCAGTTGTCAATTATTTTAGATTCTATATGTTGCTTTTTTCAGGGAACAAGTGTTTCCACTTAAAAACTCAATAAAAGCTAATTACTGTACACAGTGTGAAATATTTTGAGACCTTTAATTTGGTGGCCGAATACTTCTCTCCTGCTACCACCATATTGGACAACAGAAAGACCCTGTGGATGGGTTTATTGGGTGAATTGAGCCGTTTTGGAACAATGGTTTCCCATTTATTTCCCTATTCATCATAACAACTAAGAAAAGCCTTTCCATTGCAAAGTTAAAGACGATTATTATTCATTCAATATATTTTCCCGATTCTGATTGGCTAAAAGCACAAGTTTAATTCACCATAACCAGTTACTGATGACCAAATTTGGAAGAATTTTGACTTTAACGAGGAAATGACGTCAAAAATGCAGTGTTTTCGCAGGTTAAGGCACCGTTAACCAAGAAGACCTGGGAACGAGGTTGCGTTGTTTTGGTTGTGAACTTGAAAAAATGGCGGACATTTCACTCGTTTCAAGAGTAAGAACTAGGCAAAAAAAAAGCTAAAAACATGGCAAGAACAGCAAGAGGACAACTCGAAGGGTGACATCTGCTATTTGAAGAATATTTGTGGAGCTGGACAAACCTAAACGTACACTATCGAAGATGAACTGAACATCGATGGATCGATGGAGGTAAGCATGTTTTAGCTATGTTTTTAAACTAGGAATTATTTTGAATGAATGAAAAAATAGTTATTGAATTCGGCTTTCGTATCATATGAAGAATTATGGAGATCTCGGAGGGTGTTATCCGCCAAGGCTGTATAACACCCTCCTCGATCTCCATAATTCTTCATAAGATACTCAGCCTCATTCATTAACTGTTAATTAATGCCTATTGTATACAGTAAAAAAAATGATCAACAAAATTATTAACTTACTCTTTCAACGAGTTGTTCATTGGCCAGATAACTATAATACCAAAAAAAAAATTACAAGGAGTCAGTTTTACACCGTGTAACATTCATGTAACAGTGCAAAAGAAGAGGAATGTAAGAAGATTATTTTTCTTTCCTCTGCCATGTGCATGTATATAAAATTACAGAGATTTACACACAAGTCATACAACTTAAAAATACTGATGCATGTCATATAAAGCTGGGTAATCTTGCCATTATGTCAATTCAAAGGTAAGTTTTTAAGCCCATGTTCTCCAAAAAATACCCTGAATCGCACAAATTTTATAAGCCCACAACCGCCTCTGACTGGCATAAATGTACCCTAATTTCTTTGTCAATGGTTATTTATAGTTGTAAGAGGAAGTGGCACTTAAATTGGCCTTGCTTTGATAAAACCCTTCCTGCTTTCTTGTACAAATTACATTGTTCTTATGTTAAAAAACAATTTGTGAAAGGTTTGAACTTGGGAGTAATTTCATAAGTAGGTGGCGCATGACTGCCGGCTGATTGTAGTCCTGCAAAGTACTGTTGTTACCAGCACTGTATGAACGACATTTATAGTTGTAAGAGGAAGTGGCACTTAAATTGGCCTTGCTTTGAGAAAAAACCCTTCCTGCTTTCTTGTACAAATTACATTGTTCTTATGCTAAAAAACAATTTGTGAAAGGTTTGAACCTGGTAGTAATTTCATAAGTAGGTGGCGCATGACTGCCGGCTGATTGTAGTCCTGCAAAGTACTGTTGTTACCAGCATTGTATGAACGACATTGACAGACTCACTCGACAAGCAAAACTGACAATGGCAGAATGATTGAATAATTGACAATTTGACTAACAATAAACAACTGTTAAACTGTGACAAATAGATGGATCAAAACGCACCAATGGCATTTAAGAGTCTTCATAGCCAATAATATCACAGCATAACAGACAGTGGACCAATAACATCGTGACTCCCGGGGGCGGGGGGGAGGTACTCCCTTATATGGGCTGTATAGGTACGTGCCGCGGAATAGGGTATGGTTTTTGAGGTTCTCGGTCCTTAAATAGGGTATCTTTTTTTACCCTTTTGTTTCTGTGTCCCTGGTGTGGTCCTTAGATAGGGTAGCTTAATTGCATTATCTAATACTGGAGTGTGAAAACGCCCGCCTAAACGAACATTTTTTTTAAACTAGGCTTATTCTAGTATTTTATGCTTGATGCTATATGTCCAATGTTAAGGAGAAGAAATAAAGTTTTCCTTTTCATGCTATTAATAAGTTTGTTTTTTCCTTGAATAGGGTGTCATTTTTTGACTTTCGGCCTTCAAAAGGGTATCATTTTTCGATTTCTTAGTCCTTAAATAGGGTTAGGGTTAACGAACCTTCGCGGCACACCCCTATCCAAAATTCGCGGGAGTACCCCCCGCCAGGTCGTGACTTCATTGACCACTGGTCAATAACCAGATTTCAATACCATCAACTAACTTGATACAACTCACTTTGACTCTGAAGATGACTACTGCACAGGTTGTCAAAACGTCAGTCCCTGTCAGCAATAGTCACTTCAGGACTACGCTCACTCGGACGATTACGCTTCACCTAGCTACTCATGCAACAATTTGTAAAGCATGACTGTGACAAGAAGAGCAAGGCCTAGGATGGTTGTATCAAAACGAACACAGCCCCAATCTAGCATTCATCACTTGACTATCTTTCAGGCTGAAAGCAGTTATAATAATAACTGTATGAATACCATAATATATGGGATTTATTGGTTGAGTCAGCTTGAAGCCTTGAATTGCCACAATTTGGCTGTTTGGGGAAAGAGAAAAACACCTCTCTTGAATGATCTTGGTGATAAGTAAATGTTATGTTTGTTGAAATAAAGTATAATACTTCATTTTCTACTAATGATGAAATTTTAGCAACATGTTTGATCATGTTTATATCAAATGTCATCGTAGAGAGGGATCGGATCGGATATATACGGGCACGAAAGCTATATTTTCAACTACTTCTTAATACATACACACAATGAAGATGATTGAAACTGTGATACCAACCTTAGTAGCATCCGCAAAGGCATATTTTAAAGGATGAACCAAACATAGATTGCTAAAAACCTTCTAACCATAAACAGTGACGTCTATTTTCAGGCAAAGGCTAAGCAGCCAAGCTTTAAACGACTAGTACCCAGGGGCCCACGGCATTATCGTGTCTCCTCGATCGCGAG